TTTTTTTTAATATATGTATATATATATTTGTATAATCTTGGTTTTTAAATTGACCCCCCTTATCTGTTTATTTTTCATTCTGAGATATGTAAGTTAATATGATTTAAATTATTTTAAATACGTAAATGTGTCTGTGTAAATGTGTATGGTGTTTGTATGACTGTTATGTTTTATGTTCAAAATGAGAAAAATCAATAAAGAGAGTTGGGAAAAAAATAAAAAATAAAATAAAATTGTCTTACTTACTAAAACACATTTTCTAGGAACAGTTTCATTTTGTCATAACCCAAGTCAAATTTGATTTATATAGTCCAAAATCATAAATCACAATTTGCCTCAGGGGGGCTTTACAATTTGTACAACATTCAACACCCTCTGTCCTTAGACCCTCCATTCGGGAAAGAAAACCCTTTTTAACAGGGAAAATATTGAAGCCGAATGAGACGTACGTCCTCCTCTCCACCATGGAGATCTGAACGAGGATAAGCCACAGAATGGATCAGCAATAAAATCACAATATATACGGAATCTGATGACAAAATACCAATATATGTAGATTTGTAAGTATTTATAAGTGAAAAGTAGAATCCAGGAGGAGCTTGTGCAAACTTCAGGTGTCACCACATAGCCATGGAGACCTGGATGACGACGTACCACACAATCACAGGATACTCAGAGTATTGAGGTTTAATGCTCATTATCCGCAATTACATGTCTGTAGGAGGCGCCAATACTGACTTTATGAAGCACAATCGAGACAAACGAGTGTCACCTATTTCTGCTGTGTTTTATAGATAAATAAATAAATAGTTGTATCATGTTGCTGTGTGTGAGTGATCCACTCAGTGTCCATGTTTTTAATGGATGCTTGTGTGTGTGTATGTGTGTTATTACAGACGGTGATGGAGTTTCGCCACCCCGATGGTCGTCTTGTTCCTGTGGTGCTGCCAGGACGGAGCCTCCTGGTGATGACGGGAGAGAGCAGATACCTCTGGACACATGGGTGAGCTGGATGGTGTCAGATGGATCAGTCTCCCCCTTCTAGGACTCAGTTTATCTTGATGGGAGCTGTGGGTTGATTCCCAGTGGAGTGACAGGCCTTTTTCTTCCTCTGTTTCTTTGTAGAAGAGCACAGAAATACTGAATATACTGATCTTTCTCTGGGCTTTATTCTGTATTTTGTACGATAGACTCTGTCCGTGTATCCACATTGTAATCTCTTCACACACTCTAGAAGATGTACAACAACTGTGCTGATTAGTTATTGTATTATTGTTTGTGCACGATGGTCAACCACTGCTGCAATCTCCTCTCAGGATTACTCCTCGGAAGTTTGACGTGGTGCCAGCCTGCGACCCACAATCCCCTGCTGATGTAACGCCTGACCCCGGGATCTACAGCAATCTCACTTTGAACAAGAGGGGCACCCGCACTTCTTTCACTTTCCGCAAGATCAGACATGAACCCTGTCGCTGTGGTGAGAATCATAACACACTGTAACAGACTGCATTGCCACCAGTATTCGAGTGATGTTAGACAACATCTGTGCTTCAGCTGACTGTAATGGGTGTATATGGGTGTGTATGTGCTACCCTTTGTCTCACTTCAACCCCCCCCTTCTCTCTCCAGCCTTCCCCTCTGCCTGTGACAATCAGGGAGCTCCCTCGGCACCCTCGGCCTCTTCGACGTCTCCCCCCTCGCTACCCTGTTGCCATGCTGATGCAGCCCATCTGGAGGAGGAGTATGTGCACCGGGTGTACGATGCCATCGCTTCCCACTTCAGCAGCACTCGTCACTCCCCCTGGCCTCGCGTTTGCCACTTCCTGAACTCGCTCCCTCCTGGCAGCGTTCTGGCTGATGTGGGCTGTGGAAATGGGAAATACCTGGGTGTTAACCCAGAGGTGGTTGCAGTGAGTGTCATCATGTATTACCTGTGATACTTCAGTGATCCCTGTAGGGAAATTTCCTTTTCCATTCCATTTTTTTTGCTATTGCTATTGCTACTGCTTCATCGGCCGCATTTCCACCATAGGAACTTTCCCTAGGGACTGTGAGCCTTCGGAGGAACTCCACCGTAGGGAACAGGGTCTAAATTAAGTTACGGGGAATTTTTTTTAGTACTTTCTAAAAGTATGGGAACTGTGGAGGTGGGGCTTGTAGCAATAAACATTTCCGGCGTAGTTAAGTACTCGCAGAATTTGATGTCAGCCACCATTTTTTTTAAAATCTGCAGCTGCAAACAAGTTTGTTTTTTGTTAATTGTGCCTCCAGCATACGACTGATGGGCCGACGATTTTGTTGTTCTTTTTCTTTCTTTCTTTTTTAACCTGTTCATTTATTTATTATACATTTATTTATTAATTTTCTAGTTTTTCCTCTTTTTTTTCCCGTTTAACTATAACATTCAAGGAAAAGTAAAATAGAAAAAAGAGTTAGGCGAAAAACATAAAGCCAGCTTCCTCCCCTTTATAAAAAGACAAAACAACAGACACAAAGAAAATTTAATTGCTGGACCTGGGACATCACTAACTCACAAAACTAACTGCCTTATGACGGAAAAACTTAACTGCACCTAGCCTGGCTCTGTCCTGAGGGGAAAAAATACACCTATCGGCACCTTTTTAAATCTCACTAATAAACTGGTGTATCTTTGTTGGTTAATCCATACACAAACAACATGAGTTGATAAGTCAGTATGGCTTTAGAGGTGTTGGTATGTGTGTTATTTAAAATGAGCCAGGTTTTCTCCTTTGTTCAATGTAATTAATTTATTGACATGAAATTCACATTCAGTTTTATCATCTCTCTCTCAGAAAGAAGGCATACACAGTAAACTTATGTCGCATAAATTTGAGCATTCCTTTAAGTCTCAGTGTCATTGCAAGATAAACACTTAAAGGAATCTTGTATGTTCTGTATTTTGACACTTAAACACTTGAAGTGCAGACAACAAAAAGGTCACAGCATTCTCATGAATGTAAAATGAAAAGAAGTAGCTGTGTCAAGTCGTCAGGACCCAGTTACAGTGTTGCATAAGCTCGACCTCTCTCTGCACCAGAGGGCAGTGAGGGAGAAGACAAAGGTTTGCAGCATTACACTTTCCTTGGGCAAAAAGCTGCTGTTTACTTATTTACCTTCCTAGTTCTGGCTGGTCATGCTTTGGTGCTACAGCGAGTCACATCGTTCACATGAAGGGAAATCTCTATAATCAGTTAGCCGCTAGTTTGTTTTTAAGTTGTCACAAATATGATGTCTCATTTAAAATGAGCTAAATAAACCACAGTAACACACCAGGGGAAGATGTCCTTGGTGCTGAGGCCTGTGTGGCTCTCTCTCTCTTTCTCTCTCTCTCTCTCTCTCTCTCTCTCTCTCGGATTTTCTGCTGGTTGTCATTGTTTGCATTAGCTCAGTTTCCATGGAAATATCCCAAATTTTCTGTTTACGTATGCAAACTGGGATATTCATGTTTGGGATTTGGAGGTGCGTGTAAGCAGCTTATTCCTGACTCAGACCGTAACCGTGATAAATCATTACTGGGAACACTGTGATCATGTAGGTCACACAGCAACTTTCTGGTTTTCTCTTTTTAATTTGTTTCATTTCCCTCTGCACTTCCTTTTTGTCCTTTTATATATATTCCCCCCCCTCTCCCTCTCCCTCTTCTGTCTCTCTCCCGGTGCAGATTAACACCGTTAACCTTCCCAGTTTTAATTGAAATAAAAACTGCGTATGTGTGTGTGTGTTTTTGCATGTCATGTAACACATTGAGCGTGTGTGCCTGCCTTGTGCATGTGTGTAGTATTTCTCGCTATCTTTTATCGCCTCTGTCTCTTTTGGGAAAGAGGTCGTGTGAGGCTTGATTGAATTGCTCCCTGCAAGAAAATGTGTTAAATTATCACTGCTGTCATCCAGTGCCCTCCCTCTTTTCTTCTCCTCCTTCTACCTTTCTTTACATACATTTCTCCACTTACTGCATTTCTGTTTGTCTATCACTTCTATCCATTTTCCCTCATTCATTGTACTTCTCCTCAAAGTGTTTTGCTCACATTTGTTTCCTGTTTTATTGTTTTTCCCATTCAGTCTCTCTACTTTCGAACAATTAAAGGGTGTTTCTGCTGCTTTTTGTATGATTTTGTATAATAATAATAATAATAATAATAATGATAATATCACCCTATTAATATTATAAATGAGGAGTACATCCCTACATGCAACCCTCAGTCTTGTATGGACCTTGTACATATTTAGACTCCTTTGTTTTACTGTGCCTTTTGGTCTCTTTCAGGTTGGTTGTGACCGTAGCAGTGCTCTTATCCAAATCTGTGCAGAGAGGGGTTTCCAGGCATTTGTATCTGATGCCCTCAGTGTCCCTCTGCGGACAGCCTCCTGTGATGCCTGTATCTCTATAGCCGTCATACACCACTTTTCTACACAGGTATACACACACACACACACACACACACACACACACACACACACACACAAAGAATAACAGGTACATTACAGTAGTACAATAACAGGAATATTTAGTCTCATAAGGGCCTCATAATAAGGCCCTTTTTTAGACTGCAGGAATTGTGGGAATCTTTGTAGGATCTCAGGAACTTTACTTCAGGTTCATCTACAGGAAGCTCCTTGGAGATGAATGCAAATTTGGGACAAATCCCAAATCCCCCAGCTCTCAAATTTGTACTTTCAAATGTGCCAGAAACTGTTGGGATGGAGTGCACTGATTGGTATTTTGTGATGCTGAAATTCTTGTTGTTGTGTTATTCTTAAAATAGGAAATGTATTTATAAATATATAATATAAATATATATAATTTATTTTACTGACGTTTAAGTTTTAACAATTTCACCAGAATTCCCTAGAGAAATTCCAGGAAAAGAAACCCTCAGCAGTTGCTTGGTTTTTTAAAAAGTGATGTGTTTGTTTTAAAAAAAATGGAGTTTAATTAATTACTTGAAAAAATGATGCATCAAATCAAAAAAAAATTATAATCCCTTTTAGACGGATTTGCCCCTGAGTTGTTTGTGTTCATAATTTAGGAGTATGTGAAATTGTCATACTGTATACATATTTGTGTGTGTGTGTGTGTGTGTGTGTGTGTGTGTGTGTGTGTGTGTGTGTGTGTGTGTGTGTGTGTGTGTGTGTGTGTGTGTGTGTGTGTGTGTGTGTTGTAGGAGCGTCGGCTGGCAGCAGTGAGGGAGCTGATGAGACTTTTGAGGCCCGGAGGTCGAGCACTCATCTACGTTTGGGCTTTCGAACAAGAGTACAACAAGCAGAAGTCCAAGTATCTCAAACACCAGAACAGAGAGCATCCTGGGAACCACAGCCCCACTAAAAACACCTTAGAAGACAGCCAGGTACCTCAGGGGAAATCAAGCATCCATACCAGCAGACCTTTAGAAGACAACTGCAGTCCTGTAGATGAGGTACGAGATGTTGGCAAAGTGACTGACGGCAAACTCAGTGTGCATACCAACCGCACAGCCTTCAACACACAGGACCTTTTGGTTCCCTGGCACCTGAAAGAGGGGAAAAGACGAGGGGAGGAAGAATCAGGAGAGTGTGGGAAAAAGGATAAAAGGAAGGAGAAGCCCAGAAAGACTTCGGGTAACCCTGACCCCAGTTCAGGTTTTGACTCCAACATGTCTCCTGGATCAGGTCAGGACGCCCGTGATGCCACTCACAGTGCAAACTCTAAACCAAGTGGTGACGCTACTCAGACCTCCACTTCTAGTCTCAAGTCAGAGTCAGAGAGCGGCCCAGCGCCTGTTTTTCACCGCTATTACCACGTGTTCCAGCAGGGGGAGCTGGAGCGGCTGTGCTGTCAGGTGGCTGGAGTCAAAGTGCGGAGCACCTACCATGACCAGGGAAACTGGTGTGTTATATTAGAGAAGGACAAGAGCATTAATGCAATGTAAACAAAGATTAAATTAAAGAATTAAGTGCTATGAAATAAATGTAAAGATTTTACAAAATGTCTGATTTTGTTGTGCTCATACTTTCTTGACAATGGATCAGTGTGGCGTACAGTATTACAGAGTAACATTTGATGAAACAAACCTGGAGGTAGTGTAGATTTGAGGAGGATGTTGGTTAGAAACATACTCATGCTGGTTCTATGTAACACGGATCTTCAACATTTTCCACAGTGTATAAACTGCACGGTAGATCTCCAACAATAATCTTTGCTTCTTGGTCTTTCTTTGACCTCAGTGTCTGCTCTGAATTCACTGAGCTGTAACCAAGCTGAGACTGTGTGTGCCCGACCTTTTCACTTTAAAGGGCTGAGGTACAACGTGGCGTTTCAGGCTGTGGGTGATTTGTTCACATTCAAGATGCATAATGTATATTTTGCTGGTGTTTTCAACATCACAGTTTATACCCAACCTCAGAAATAAAAAAAATATTCTATAATTTGATGAAGAAAATATATTTTCTAGATTATCTCTGAGTGTGTTCAAGCTCATTTTGTTAAAAGAAATTGTGATAAAATCATATCATGATGAGTTGAGTGTACCATTACATCAAATATCAAAATATTTTAAAATTGTTATTGTAATTGTTGTGGGCCATGGTATTTTGCCCTGTAATATATTAAAAGTAAATGTTGGGTTATTAATTGTTGTGTTATAAAGTTATAACTGCAAAAAATACACTACACAGCTTCCTCTTATCACCCTTACTGTAGTGCTCTTTGTGGTAGACAATATTATATATTTGACTGCCTATTGAAGAATAAGTTGTTTCAGCTATATAGCGATGTATAAAAAATTAATATCATACAAGAATTTAAAACTAGTATACTGCCCAGCACTAAAAGTTAATACAATATAGTGTGACAGTGTGTTTACTGAAAAAGGATAAACATGTCAAGTTTAAACATGATTAAAGGAATTTTAGCACTACCTTTACTTGATTGGTCTTGTCTCATACAGTAGCTGACAACTGAAGTATCTGATTACACTCTACTTTAAATACACCTCAAGAACAGGGCGGTTCGTCCCCTAATCGGAAGGTTGTTGATTCGATCCCCGGCTCCTGGTGCCCCATGTCGAAGTATCCTTGAGCAAGATACTGAACCCTGAATTGCTCCCGATGCCATGCATCGATGTGTGAATGTGTATAAATGAGTTAGTTTCTGTTTGATGGGTTTTTCCATCACTGAGTGAATGTGTGTGAAAGGGCGAATGTGCCATGTAGTGTAAAAGTGGTCGGAAGACTAGAAAGGCACTATACAAGTACAGGTCCATTTATCATTTACAAATGTGGGCCAACACATTTAAAAAGGTTTTTTTTCCGCATTTTTTTTCCCGACAGAAGATTATTTAAATGTTATTTAAATTCAAGTTCAATTAATATTGGAGCTACAACAATAACTCTTCTTCATGTGCTGGAACTGACAATAATATAAACCATAACAACCACTAATTTAAGTACAATTTCAGTAAAAAAAAATCACTTGTGCAAAGTTAGTATTCACAAGCCATTTTTAGCGTTGGATGAACTGATGATGATCAATACTGTGTTCCAGTTTAGATTTTAAATAATGCAGGAACACTAAACTATGACTGCATCACTCTTTCTCTCTTGCACTGACACTCGTGTTCACGCTACATCCTATTAATATCCTATTTTACCATACTGCTGTAAAGACAGAATAAACTGTAGGATAATTGGGTATTGATGGCAGAAGAGTACAGCGTGGTTATTTGTTGTGGAGGTTGGTAATTGGTCAGTGGCTGCTGGTAAATTACTCCTGTGGCTCCTCGGTCCCCTGGGACACACACAGACACACACATTGTGATGCTGAGGCAGGAGATGGTTTTGGTGGCTTTTATTGACAGTGGTTTATTGATTAAGGGGAAGCAGCCTGCTGTCTGTCTGTGTGTGTGTGTGTGTGTGTGTGTGTGTGTGTGTGTGTGTGTGTGTGTGTGTGTGTGTGTGTGTGTGTGAGAGAGAGAGATCTTTTGTAGTTTCATGCACAACAATGTGTGCATTTGTACATAGCAGTGTTATTGTGCATGTATTGTTGTTGAGTCTGTTGACATTTAGAGTGATTATTAAAATTTAAAGCTATGCCTCCCGCAGGTATAGCCCATTGATTTGACAGGCTACGAGACATTTGAAATCTTCAGCTCACAGGAGTCAAGAGACATTTATAGTGAAATGATATGTAACGATTCCTTCCCTGATGGATTCGTGTTGTGATATGTGTGACTGTGCAGCGTTGAAAAGGTAATAATTCCAGGTAGGGATATATTAGCATACATTTTTTTTTTATGCTAATAAGAGTTTTATTTACGACCAAAACTGTCCTCATACTGTAGTGTGCTTTTACTAGTCTGTGGCTGTTTTTAATGAATTGAATGATGAAGGCTCTGACCTCAACCCCATCCAACACTTTTGGTATGAACTGGAACAACAAGACTGGACGCAACATAGAATACAATATATTCTGTAATTTTACAATTACTACTTTCTGTGTGTTTCTGTCTCTGTATATATTATATATATATATATATATATGTGTGTGTGTGTGTGTAACATATGTGTAATATATACCATATATTGCATGTCTGTCCCTCCTTGAAGATCCTCTGTTGCTCTTCCTAACTACCTTTTTTATGTTAAAGGGGTTTTTGTTGGGTCAAATTGAGGATAAAAGGTGTTTTATGTTGTACACATTGTAAAGCCATTGGAGGCAAAGTTATGTTGTGTAAATGAAAATGACTCAACTTGACACACATAGATGTTTCCAATAGCCACAGAGGCCATAGCACCATGTCCTAAGCATTTTGCCTGGTACATTTAGCCTACAGAAAGGGGCTGCGCAAACACATACTAGTTTACAGTCCTGTTAGCAGCAGATTTACACATAAAAAGCGAAGGTAAACAGCCAGTAACTTTCTACTTTAAAATGTGGTTGCCCCTTTCTGCAACATTTAAAAAGTAATTGCTTCCATATTGATTTATTATTGTGGGGTTTTTTTTGCACACATTCATTAGCAGGTTTGGAGAGCATAACTACATGAACCCGGGTTACGTAATCCAAAAAAAGTAACTGTAATCTATTAGATAAAACATAAAAAAAGATGTAATCAGATTACAGTTACACTTAAAATAAGAATGGGGACCATTATCAGCGTTACAGTTCCATCAGTTTTTAAAATAAACCAATCAGAGGACACATTGTTGATGCTAACAATCTTGCTCTCCATTTTCTTTTCTAAGGTTACATCGTTTTGTAGCTTTATGGAACAAACTCTGTTTTCTCTCGTCTTTTCTTGCATGCAGTGTTGAGTGAACCCAAAAGTAATGGAAAGTAAGTTACATTACTTTAACATTGTGATACTTGGATTAGGTTACAGACTACTCTATTTAACAAGTAATCCCTAGTTGTATCAGATTACTTTTGTTACTGTAACCCTCCCAACCCTGTTCAGTGGTGTGGTTGTATTCTCACTGTGCTGTCGTGAACTGCGGTGCTTTACGACAGCTAACAAACACATTGACGACAGTGTCATGGCGACGCACGGTGTCAGTTTTGAGAGTACGAGCAGCATCGACGAAAGAAAAGAGAGTAAACGACAGGCACGACAAGAGGCGATAGAAAAGGTAAGGGCTGTGAGCGTCTTCACGAACAAACCCCATAAGTGACCTGAGGTTGGGTTTAATGGCGTCAGCTGGGACTTTACATCACACCTGTTTTGGTCCGAACAAGCTAAGTAGGCTAACAGCTAACGTCGTAAAGGTTGCCTAGCAGCTCGACAGTGACGTTTTGGAGAGTTGTCTTTGTCCTCGATGTGAAGTTGTGTCTTTGTGTCTTTGTGTCTCTTTCCAGCTCGCCCAGTTTTCTCGGAAAGCGGAAATTAACCTACTTTCTGTGTGTGTGTGTGTGTGTGTGTGTGTGTGTGTGTGTGTGTGTGTGTGTGTGTGTGTGTGTGTGTGTGTTCACATTAACCTGATAATGGTGGCTGTTAAACTGCAGGCAGGAAATTACAGGACAAACACTGCAGGGCCAGATAGGAGACCTCTGGCTGTGCTTTAAACTGGGTCTTTATGTCATGGTGGCAGCTATACGCGGTCCCCCAGCTTAAAGATCTGCACAGCCTCGTGTTTGTAATCACATATTATGTACACAGGTATTTAACTGTGACTTATCTTTTTTATTTATTTTTGCCGCGCAGCTGTGTTTGCACTGTTGTCAGATACACAGACAGAGCAGATGATGCTTCCTGTAGATGTGCACTAAAGGTTGTAAACGCATTATCTTCCCGGCTCACCTGTGTCTGTGCTGGCCAAAACAAAGAGTGTAGCTGGGGTCTGATTTATTATGATTTGGAGTTTGAAGAGGTCTTGGCTCATAATGACATAAGGAGTCATTAGTGTCATTGCCATTGCATCTAAAAGATAAAGATGTGAAGCTTTAAAAGCCCTTATATGCTCAGATATTTGACAACCGTAACTCTTATCAGCAGTATGTGAAGACTGTGTTGTTCCTTTCATAAATTAAAAAATGTTCAGAATTTGATATCAGCCCACAGAATCAGATCAGCTGTACACTTTGGACTTTGCTTTGTCATTCGATAGAGGTGTCTGATAATGCAAATGCCAGTGCACGCTTACTTTGATCTGTTCTGCTTATTTAATTTCATGTTATTGCATATCGTGTCGTTCAGGCCAAGCAGCAGCATGAGAAGGAAGAGAGGAGGAAGGAGCTGAAGAGACAGAGAGGGGAGGACACTTGGATGCTCCCTGAGATCAATCAGAGGCTGCAGGAGTTTGAGGAAGTAAGATGCAGTGTTATATTACTTTATTTAATAAATATGACAAAACTTTTAGATTAACTCAATGCTGAGTCATTTCTGTACCTCAAACCAGTGGGGACTATATTGCCAATCTGCAGCACGACAGAGAAGTTCCACACCTTTATAGTTTGAACACGTTGTTTATGATGTTTGTTTAATTGTATCAAACATTTATCATCTACATTTACAGTGACACTATCTGTAGGAGAATCAGGATGACTTTCATTGGGAAACATACCCCTAGATGACGTGCCATTTTGGAGTCACATGAACCAAAACAAGTGGAGACAAATGGTTATTCCTGCATACCTTTGGGAGGCTGAGGACTGACTCTGAATATATTGCATCTTAGTAAAAAAACATAACTTAATGCAATTTGAACCCCCTTCAGGAGGGCTCTGTGAAGAGCAAGAAAAAGAAGGAGAAGAAGTCTAAAAAGAAAAAGGAGAAAAAGAAGAAGGCCAAGAAGGAGAAGAAGACAGCAGAAGCAGGAGATGGCTCTAGTGACAGCTCAGGGGTAGGGCCTCTTCCATATTTGTTCATTTTCCATCCTTTTGTTGATAATCTCTCATACTGCTTTCCTTCATCATCATTTTCTTTATCCGCCCTCTCTCTATGGGTCAGGAATCAGGGGATGAGTGGATTGAGGCTCAGCCTCAGACAAAAGCTGTTAAAGCCTGGCAGGTTTCTGATGAGCCCAAGCCTCCAGAGAGCAACCCCAGCCCAGCCCAGAATGTCCAGGTAACTTCCTCGTCCGGTGCCACAGATACTGAATGAATGATGTTTGGTGTCACTCAAAAATGTACATGTAAAACAATACAGTCATTTTTAAAAAATTTTCATTGAAGGTGTTTATTTCAACATAACAAATCATCTATGGACACAATAACGACCAGCTTTGCCAAAGTCTTCTCTTTTGCTCCAAATAGTAGAGTCCATTTTCCATAGATAATAGAGCACAAATGTCAAGAGTTAATGCTCTATCTAGAGTTATGAAGAAGTTTTGTATACAAAGACAGACCTTTTATGCTTCTTCTGCTTTAGAACCTCATGGCACCATCCTCTATTACTGACAACTATTTAAAAAAATAATAATTTTAAACGTTTTGTTTTATTTGTCCTTTGTGTGTGTGTGTGTATGTATGAGAGCATAGTTGTTATGTGTTGCTGTTAAGTGCTCATTGATCTTTTCTCAATCTAACGTTATATATCTTTCTTTTTCTTCATTTAATCCCCCACACCGTCTGCCTCCTTCCGCTAGAGAGACGAATGGATGACCTTTGACTTCCTGGCAATGAGTACCACGTCAACAACAGAGAGACGGGCTGAGAAAGAGCGACTGAAAGAGGAGGAGAGGGCAAAGGCTCAGGCCATCGAACAGGTGTGTGTTGTTGGTTTTTTTAATACCCATTTTCTATCCAATTTGTAATGACCATTTCCCTTCTACTGGGGTTGTTGTTGCACTGTCGGCCCAGCGGAGGGTGTAGACAGCCACGTGGTTTCTCTGGTGTCCTCAGCCGGCAGATTCACGTGTATCTGTTATTTGAATCTTAATGCAACATGACCTGCATGTCTGTGTAAGAGGGAGATAAAAAGCGACCATGTTTGTGTGTGCCTGGATTGCTCACGGCATGAAACCACTGTGGTAGTCCGTCTCCTCGTTTTGCCCACTGTGTGGTTACCAAGGTAACAGAGGTTGGCCCCTCTTGGACAGCAGTGTGTGTGTGTGTGTGTGTGTGTGTGTGTGTGTGTGTGTTTGTGTGTGTGTACTTATTTTTGTCTGCAGGGTGTTTTTGTCTGGATTTTTAGCATTTGTGCCCGTGTTGTGCTATTGAGAGTATATAAAGAGATGATTAAAGTGTATGTGTGTTTGTGGTTCCCTCAGGCTGGTTTGCACAAATTGGAGTTAAACCCGTTCTGGAAAGATGGAGGAACTGGTCTGCCCCCAGAGGAGAAGGCTGGTACTGCTGCAACGAAAGGTGATAACAGAAATGACTCTATTTGGGCATTTCCAAGAGTTATATAGAAGAACATTTTGCAGTTATTTAAAATATAATATAAACGTCTTGTGGTCTTAGCATCTCAGAATAAAGCCTCCCTCCAAATTTTATTTATTGATTTTTTTTATTCAACATTCATACCAAGAAGTTATTTGTAGAAGAGGCAGAGCTATACATTTTTCTGATGGAAGTTGCCTCAGTAGACCAGAGTGCATGAAGCTGCAGTATTGTTATTTTTGTTACCTAACTATTGCTTCACTGTTCCCCTCTAGCAAAGAAAAACAGTGTGCAATTCAGATTTTTCCTCCTGCTCTCCGCGATCATACACTGCACATTTTTTCCTCCTTTTAGACCTTGTTTGTCTTGTTCTCTCTTCTCCTTTTTTTGAACTTAAGGCCAACCACCTTAACCAAGGTGCTTAAGTTAATGATATTCTTGAATAGACACGTTAGAGTAATCTTTATCTTGGTACTCTTATTTCTGAAGTCCCAATGGAGGATTCAAGGAATTTCAAACAATCGCCAATGACCCCTCATCCCCACATTAATTTCCCACCTAAAATGTCTGTTTCAAAAACGATCTGTGTGGTTACGTCTGACAGTCACAGTCCTGCTCAAAATGAGATGTAGGTCTGTCACAAAGGAGAATAAGCTGCAGAGTTTATTGGTGCGTTGGAAGTGCAGGAGAATTTTAAAAATCAGAGAAGACTACAATTATGAGTGCAGAAAAGTCAACGTGGAGGTTTGATGGAAGAATGAGAGGACAGATAGAGCGAGGAAGAGCATCCAAGTTAGGGATTTAGGGAAAGAGACAGACAGACAGACAGAGAGTAAGCTGTGTTAAGCTGACAAGCAAATGCAGGTATGTGCGCGTGTGTCTCTTATCTCTACACAGTAAGTACAGTTCCCTCTAGAGCTGGCACAGCAAGGCAAAATAAGCTGACGCAAACAACACACACACACACACACACACACACACACACACACACAGTCCTTTTTTCCCTCTTCAGGCTGTGTTATAATTATGTGTTTTTGTTCTTTTTTTAATTCATCTTCTCTGTCCACCTACAATTTAAAGCAGAATGTTCTCAAACAAACAGAATCAGATACTAAGAGTTGACCTTGACCAGAGGTTGTGGGCACTACTTTTTCAAGTTTTATCTTTCTAAGAAGTTGCATAAACTGTTGACTTTGAAACAACATTTATTTTGCATCATTTAAAGACTAATTTCCCTCTAATGTTTTCTCAACCTCCTTTATCCTGACCTTCGTTTTTCCTTTCATCAGCGTGTGATTCGAATTGTTTGGGCTCCTGATACTCACAACAAGCAACATTAACTTGTGTTCTTTCCCCAGTTTCTCTGCCGTCTGTTTTTTTTGCAACATATTAGTCTGGTTATTTGATGTCAAACATCAGATGATGTCAGGAACTTGTGGTACTTGATTTGTACTTTTCATTTAATCATTTACAGTCTCTTTTTTTCTGCATATCCCTCTCTTGTTAACCTTTCACTCATCATCTCGGTTTTAATCCATACCAAAGTGGAACTGGCTGGCGTGTACAGTAAACTCCCTCGCTAAGTGGCATCTCATTAACATTACTCGAATTTGTGAGATATATAAATAAAAATGTCGAAGATATAACTGACTCAATGAAGTTTTTGTGTGTGTGTATGTGAAGGCTTTTCTCCTCCTGTTCCTGCAGGCCTAGTAGTGAATGATGGCGGTCTGGGCTGGCTGAGGAAGAACTACCAGAGGATGAAGGAGCAGGCAGAGAGGGAGCAGCGCAGCCTCAACGATGTGGTGGCTGAAAGATACGGAGTGAGCACTGATGGCACACTGGCAGCACTCACACATTCACAATTTGGCAAAAATGGTCACGCAAAAAAGCCACTGCACAGATGAGATGTTGCATAATATTCTGGTTATTGTAAACGGAGATTTGGACAAAAAAATATTGACAATATAGATTCATAGTTACTCTGAAATCAAGGATGTACATATACGCATATACACGCACGCACACACACACACACACACACACACACACACACACACACACACACACACACACACACACACACTGCTGTCGCTGGAATGTGTATCTAGACACCTTGTTTTATAAGTCTCTTTGCTGTCCCACACACACACACACACACACACACACACACACACACACACACACACACACACACACACACACACACACACACACACTCACTGAGTGTCCTTTGTTAAGTCACTTTCAGCAGTGTCAGCATTTGTGCCTCCAGTTGACAGCATTGAAACTGTCACTGTCAGAACATTGTGTGTGTGTGTGTGTGTGTGTGTGTGTGTGTGCTTTCCTTTTCCTTTGTGAGAACTCAGCCATCCACAGCAGTGCACCTCATTTGAGTTTCTTCTAGTAAAGTACTGACATCTTCTGTACGGCTATTTTATGCCATCATTTACAATGAGATATTTTAGTTTATTTTTATATTACCTTGATAGTGTGTGTGTGTGTGTGTGTGTGTGTGTGTGTGTGTGTGTGTGTGAGAGTGTGTGAGATTATGCTTTTTTGTAAATCCCGTAGACTCTGGTTTTTGTACGTATCAGTTGTGTTCAATTATGAGCTTTAAGTTGACGTAATGTTAATGCTGGCAGTTGTAGCAAGGATTACTGAACAGCTGAGTAGATAGTGAAATGTGAGGACCCATTTGGACAGATTGCAGTCACTCATGTTAGCATTTTGCTTAAGAACTTAACAATAGTATCTGGTAGGTAAATTACACTGGCTCTCATCTGGCAACAAAGCCAAAAAGCTGTTGTTTGTTTGGCTTACCGGATCAGACTATTCTTAAACTACATTGCATCTTTAGAATGTGTGTGTGTGTGTGTGTATATATATATATATATATATATATATATATATATATATATATATATTAAATCTGTTATAATGCCTTGATTTTATATACCATGCACACATTGCTGGGGAAGATAATTGTGAAGATCTAAACAACACAACATGAAAAAGTATTCTAGTATTTTATAGTATTTTAATATGTCTTGTGTTTCTCCTTTTATAGTCAATAGAAGAATTTCAGAAAAGACTCGCAGATGCTGAAAACGCTGTGTATGGACAGAGGAGAGGAGGAGGAGAAGAAGGAGGCCGACCGGCGAGAGGCGGGTGGAGGAAAGAAGAGAACGAGTCCAGAGAGAGATGGAGGAGAAAAGAGGGAGATGGGGCAGAGAGAGATCGGTGGAGAAGAAGAGAAAGGGAAAGAGATTTGTCACCCGTAGACAGAGAGAGATACCGTGCTGGAAGAGGAGAGGAGAGAGAGAGGGAGAGGGGAGGGTATCGGGGCAGAGAGGAAGAGAGAGGTCGAGATGGAGACAGGTTTACAGAGAGGTATAGAGAAAGCGAGAGGGATAGGGACAGTGAAAGAGACGGTAACAGAGATAGAGACAGTAACAGGGATGGAGACAGAGAGAGAGACAGTAACAGGGATAGAGACAGAGAGAGAGATAGTAACAGGTATGGAGACAGAGAGAGAGATAGAGGAAAAGAAAGAGACAGGGATAGGGAGAGTGAAAGACATAGAGAAAGAGATGGGCCAACTGTTGCATCATCATCATCATCGTCATCATCATCGTCATCATCTGGGCAGAATTGGAACCACCGTTCTCCCTCTCTTGGCTCACTAAAAAGCCGCTTCCTTAAACCTTCAGAAGATGATTACAGTGGTGAAGGTGGGTCGAAGGTCAAGGTCTTTTCTAATAGATGTTTGAGTGAAGTTTTGCCAAAGTAAACAGCATTTTGATCTTATTTGGACAGCAGCGACTGCATTTTACAGTCATAACGATTTTGAAAAAGAGCAACAAAATATCTTCTCAATTTCTTTCACTAATCAGGAAACATGGAATTTCATCAAATGTTAATCATAGTCTAACGTGCAAAGAGTGTTTCTTAACATGCTTTGTAATTTCTTTCTGGTGCAGCTCCAGAGCGCCGGCCTCCCCCAGCGCGGTCATCCACAAGGTTCCTGAAACCGAGCTCTGATGATGAAGACTCCGGTCCACGTAATGCCAGCGTTCCAGCCTGGAAGAAGGGCAGCAATCCTGCCCGCGAATCTGACAGCTTAGAAAAACCACCGCAGGAGAAAGAGAAGGATCCTGGGAAAACTGTAACGGCTCCTCAGGACGCTCTGCGTGGTGATGAAGTTGCTGGGACGACATCAAGGTTTCAAGTTTTTTATTTTTTTCTCTTGAAAACGTGGTTTGCTAAAGGAAGTCCAACGCCACTGTACTGATTGAGTTTTTAAGTTGCATGCGTGTTTGGGTGGACATTATAAATTAATCGGTCCAATTCTCCTGCCCACTCATCACGACAGCGCTAGCTTTGCTAATACACACACTTTGCAACTTCCTTTCCAACTCCTTTAAAAAAATCTTTCATGCTCTTAAGTTAGCTAACATTATCTTGCAATCAGCATACTAATAGCATCTTATGAGGACGACTTTTATCATGACATACTTTCTTTGTGAACAACCCCAAAGTCAAGCTTTCCGTCACAATTATCGTAATGAGTATAGCCATCATGTGACGAACTGTTTTGAGTAATATTTGCCCTAACTTTCTTCATCAACATCCCAAAGCCATATAAAATGTCCTGTCAGCAACTTGGCAGGCGAACACTGGCTCACATTATCCAGTACACTACAGATTGTTGGACACAGTCAATGGATAAAATATAAAATACAAGAAGAATACATGTACCGGTTAACCGATATGTTGAATGCTACTCGCTGTGTCCCCAGGATAAATGGTTGGAACTGAGTAAGGCTTCAGTGTTAGTTTTGTGACAAAACCATCTGTTTTTGTGTGTAAAAAAACCAAAAAAAAACATAAAGACGTCACCCATCTCTCTCTGATTTTCAGATCTTTTTGTAATACATAAAGGCTCACCATTTCTCCTTTTGCAACTTTGCAACTGAAAACAATACATCATTTTGAAAATAGAGAAATAGCTTGCAAACTACCGCTCGTAGCTAAACCTGGCTTCTCCTATGAAAAGCCCCACCCCGCAGGTCGACAGGGTTTGTTCCTTAGGTATGTGACATGAATCTGTGGCTGTTTGAATCTGTGTTTTTGAGAAAGTAATTGGTACCCTGCCGTTCCAACGCGAAAATACTCAGCTGTGGTGTTGACTACTTATTTCACTTAAGATATGTCTTGTAGCGTTTCAAAACACCACGTTAACAAGGTTAAAACTGGATTTTGATCATATTTCTCTCAGTAATCCCTTCCACAAAACCTTGCTGTGTCTTCACATATGTACTTGATTAGTTTTTGGGGACCTGCAAGAACTGTTAAAGTCCTTATCTGCTTTTGAACATTAGTCTTGATGTTGCCAGAAAGAACTCCCTCTGAACTCTCAGCCTGTAATTCAAATGTTATCTGTTGTTATCTATTTCTGTCAGACATTTTTATATCGGCATGATACATGGATATTCATTACTCATTTAAAGGGACACAAAACGGCAACAACCCTCTGTGGCACAGTTTAAACCGAGGCAAATGATTGCATCAGAAGCTTTAATGTTTTCTTATTTTCATGACAGTCCAACACATAGCACCGTTGTAGGCCAGATGTTGGAAGTATCACTGCAATTGTAAAGCCTTCTTAGTTGTTCTGTGTGTTGCCTCATTAGGCTAAGTTGTTTGGGTAAACCAGCACCCAGAACCCCTGCAGCATGAAATGAGTCTGCAGTGTGGCAGCAGAATGAAATGAGGCTATGAGAAGTGTAATAGCCTAGAACGATGCCTCCCAGGCTGCAGTTCAGATCCTCCAAGGCAAGGCTGTAATGATCTCTGGGGGGCACAGAGACTCAAATGAATCATAACAGATAAACAGCGTGAGTGCTCAGAAGAAAACAACTAAATGGTTAAATTAAAAACTTCACAAATAAGTTTCCCAATGGATGGTTTTAGGACTATTATTAGGGTGGAATAATTAAGTCATTAAATCCTGTTGTTCGGTGGCTGCGTTATGGGGGAAATCCGAATCTTATTCACTTTTTAAATTTCCCTTTCTATATCTTGGTTTTGGTCTGCCCTTCATACTCCCCTCTTCATGTTTACCCTAGGTATGAGAGTGAGAGTGAGGAGGAAGAAGAGGAGGAGGTTCCACTGCTGTCAGAGGAGGAGATGAACAAACTGGGAGCCAAACTGGTGAAGGCAGAGATCATGGGCAACATGGTGGGTAGGCTATCATTAGAGCACAACAAAATATTGCAGTACTCAAGTGTATCGATATTTCTTAACCCCTAGTTATTACTACGGTTATTACTTCCGCGGATCGTTACATGAAGAAAGTAGCCCGTCAACATTAAGGCCACAAACAACCCATAATGCAACACTCTCTTGATTAAATATAATGTATGGACCGGTACTGTCCAGTCCTTAAATTTAATATGACTGCAACTTTTTTATAAACAATATCATCTTATTCAAGCATTCAAAATTAAATTTACACATGTATCACGGATAAAATGTGCTGTGCATAAATATGACTCCAACATACGACCCAATCATCAGTTTACCCTATTTTACATCTAACAATTTGTCAATGTGAAAAACTGAAGAATTAAAACAAACTACAAGTGTTCATTGAACCTTTTTAGGGCGCCCTTTAATTTCACTCCCTTCAGCTTTATGGGGAAGTTGTAGCTGATTCGCTTTGACTCTTTTCTTTGATTTAACAGCTCATCAGGGGATCCATTAATTTATAGCATTCATTGATCTGTGCACTTAACTCCCCTTCTGTCTGTCTTCACGTGTCAATGCGAAGAGTGCTATTGGGATCTCTTATAGAGAGTGTTGAAGAACTGTCTGTTACAACACACACTGCACACACACTCACACCTATAATCCTAAGTGTTATCAACCTCACATCCAGCATCTCCCTACACAACAAAGCAATCTAACCTATATTCCCAAACCGCTTTGTGTGTATTAAGTGCCTTTAGCAGACAAGCACTTGCCTTTTATGCCTTGTACATAAAGCTATCGATATCTGTCACGGCAGTATGACTTAAGAGGTTCCGAGACAGATGTTTTTTCTCTCTGTCCTCTTTTGTGTTTCTATTTTTACAGTGTTCTGCCTTTTATCTGCCGATTGTCAAAAACCACAAACAGAAATGACATTCTAAACTTTAAGAAAACTGCCAGCCTTATATTAAAATGCAGCCTATGAAACATTTACATACTGCAGTTCCTATTTAAATATCTGCCAACGTGCATACACCCATATGATATTTAGTATATGGTAATCCAATAACGGCCTTTATTATTAGCCTTCCAATGTATCTGTCAGGCTCTACTTTTGAAGGCTTTATGAACATTTTGAGCCAGGAAATCTGCCAAGGAGGGGGTCCCCATCTTCATTCTTTATTCTTCATTTATTTTATCATTATGTAAACACATGGTGTGTTACCAAAAAACTTGTACATAGCAATATTAAACAACATACTGACTGGTTGTTTTATCAGTAAATCTAAATGTGCAGGCTTTTTAAAGTGTGTTTATGTTTTGTGTGTGTGTGTGTGTGTGTGTGTGTGTGTGTGTGTGTGTGTGTGTGTGCGTGTGTGCGTGTGTGTGTGTGTGTGTGTGTGTGTGTGTGCGTGTGTGTGTGTGTGCGTGTGTGTGTGTGTGCGTGTGTGTGTGTGTGTGTTTCAGGCCATGGTTGAGAAGCTGAAATCACAGCTGGAAGCAGCACAGAAAGCCAAAGAGAGCTACGCTGCCCAGAAAACTCTACAAGAAGCCACTAAATCAAAGCAGGTCTGTAAATACTATATTTCAGTCTTACACATTCATTGTCGCAGTCTTTTCCAAACTAACTAATATAAGTAGTGTCAACAATGGTTGTAAAATATTAGTATTACCAGTTTCAACCAAAACTCAGCATTATGACCTTTATGAACTTGAGCTGTTGTATTAGACTGCGTTACTTTTGCATTATGGTTTAACAGGTTTTCCTAATAGCTGGGTGGACAAGACAGAGAACAAAACACAGTTCCCACCCCAAAAAGGAAAATATGATTAGACAGTTTAAAATATGATTATAAAGAAGAGAGGACTTTTCTTCCTTGGAAATATATTTTTCCACTCCATTTCTCTGCCTCTCCTTTTTTTAATCTGTCGCTTGGCTATCTAAATACTTGCTGTTTCCTGAGTGCAGTTTTCCCTCTGCTGATATCTATCACAGTGCTACTTCTCCCAGATTTATTATAGATCCAAAACATACACACACACTGAATCACGTTGCAGATTTTTACATGTATAATCACACACAGATGTAAACACATGCAAACACAGGAATAGATAGATAGATACTTGCACACAGCTCTTAACCTTTAAACACACACACACACACACACACACACACACACACACACACACACACACACACACACACACACACACACACACACACACACACACACTCTGAATCTTCCTGTGTCAGATTTATCTGCTAGCTGCTCCTTTTCCTCTTCCATAGTCTAAATGCTAATCCAAACACTCAAGGCTATATGTATTATAAACTTCACACACACACACACACACACACACACACACACACACACACACACACACACACAGAGCAGGTTACAGCAGCAGCCATCTCTCTCACTGTGCAGGCAAGAAAAGTGCCTCTCACACACTTGTCTTCAGAGGAAACTAAATTCTCTGCTATTACGTCTGAATGCTTTTAAAAGGAATTTGTTTGTTTGAAGTCTCTTTGCTGCTCAGCTTTTACGTCTTGCTGTCTGTATGGAAACTGCTCCTGTTTGGCATTTTAGCAGACCCTAATGGGAAGCAAATGTCTTTCCTACCAGGGGTCATTCAGAGTGTGCCCCCGTGTTTATGTGTGTGAGAGAAGGAGAAAGAGACTGATTGAGAGGTAGACAGAGAGATTATATGTGCCATCCTGTCTGCCTCTGTAGTACAGGCAATTAACAGAGAGCAATGGCAGTGCCCTGACACCGCAGCACTGCTTTATCTCCCATCTTTGGCACCGCTAATGCCTTTTCCGGCTACACACGCGCACATATGCACAAATAAATAGAGGCCTATTTCCGACATGAGCAGACTCCAGACAACTTTATAAACACATGGGAAGCACGCTGTGATTATTTATATAACCTGTATATTATCATTTGCAAGTTAGGCCAGATTCATCCCTGCTAAGGATGTCCTGTCCAAATTTAAAGACTAGGGTGAAATCCTCAGTAACGTTTCAGGGAAAATGTCATAATTCCTAGGTTTTAGTGTACTTATCAGCTGAGAGGTACTTCAGCCCTCTCAGAGATCGAGTGCTGTTGATTTGCACTCATTCGAGATCCTTCCAATCTGTCTTGTTATGGAAGACTTTTGGCTTGCCCTCGCTTTTCAGTGTTTTGACTCTTGTTGCCTGTACAGGTCGTATTTAGTGTTTTCACTGCGTGTGGAGCCTTGAAAGGCCGGACTGTGTCGACTGGAGCAGAGGAAATGTTTTTTTCTATCACCGTTTTTCCGTTCTGACATTCCCATCCTTTCTACTGCTCCCACCTTGTTCTTGTTTCTCGGCTGTCTGCCTTTACCGGTCAGGTCAAACTTCAGACTTTAATAGGCTGACCAATCAGACACTGGCTGCAGTTACATACAGCTTAGTTTACTTCTGAATGTAATCAATCAGATTGACAACAAAGTATTTAATTGAGCCCCACATTATGTACATGTCAATTGTTAAAACCTGTAGGGTCCCTGTGAAGGAATAAAATCCTGTGCTTACTAGTACAGTCATCTATGTTGTATGATCAGCAAATGTACCTTTCCTGACCTGGCATTGGTGGCAGACAGCGGACTATTTTAGTCATTTGTTGGATGTTTTGCATCATAAAACATTATTATCAGGGTATTCTCCTTTTTCTTGAGTGTGTTAAATGCAAAAGGTATACACATAAAAATATTTAATCTTTATCGGAATACTGTCAGTCTTGTATATTACTAAAAACAAACAAAGGTGAAAATGACCTGCCTGTGTTTCGGTTTTTTAAGGTCCCAGGTCGCTCAGCTGAAGACCAGGAAGTCCTGTTGTTCAGAACAGACCAATCAGGTCGGGCCTGGCCAGTCAATGCCCCCTCTGGACCCCAGGAGCCCCACGGAGGACGACGGAAGAAGAAGCCGGTAAAGAGAAAGGGATGACGGGTGGAAAGAAAGTAAAAAAATACATGACAAAACAGCAGGGAGGGAAGTTTTCTTCATGAGTCTGAAACCATGAAAATGTGCTTCTTGATAAAACTAACTCTTGAACTGCTTTAGAAAGCCACCATGTAGGACAAAGACAGAGAGGATTCTGCACACTGTTGCAGCTGGAATGCAGCATCCTTCTATTTAATCCTTGTCGTTTGGTATTTATCACAGTGCGTAATGAGAGCCGGGAGTCCACCTGACTCTGAGTTGAAACGTGTCTAATGTAAACAAAGCTCTCCAGTCGATTCTCTGTTTATTGTTATTATAAATGTATAAAGTGGCCCAGTCTCCTTTACTGTCTGTGTAGCTCGCTATTTAACTCTCTCACTCTCTATCTCAGCCCCATCTTCTTCTACCTCTCTCTTCTCTCCACTGCCCTTTGTCTCTCCTTTCAAGGACATTTCGGGTGGGATTTGAATAGATTTTAAAATTCCTAGTGAATTTTCCTGTTTACGACCTTGTATGTCCTTGTATTCCTCTCTCCCTCTCTCTTCAGATTGAGACTCATGTTGATGGGCAGCGTGTGCGCTACTTCCAGGACGATGACAATGTGGGTCTGAAGGAGATGGTGAGGAGAGAGAAAATGAGCTCTGCACAGGATCAGAATGCCCTCTACTCTCGCATGGCTGCCAAGGTGAGAACACCTCACATAACCTTCGAAACGCTGAACACAACTTGGCAACAAAGGCGCCAACCTAAGATATTGATGATTATTACTAGAATTACCGGTGTGACCAGGAATTAAAGGTGTCCTATGGAGTTTTCTTGTAAATGAAAAGAAGTTTTGTTTAAATTCCCCTTCGTTGAAAAAACACAGCACTTTTCTTTTCTGCCTTTTGTTGGCGTATTGCTGCATTTCTTGGTGCATTACCACTACCTGTAGATCAGTAGAATAGTGTGAAACCATTGGTTGGACTGTATGTGTGGCAATGTGTGTGTGCAAGAAACAAAACTGGGACCCACTCATATAAAAATGGCTGCATAGAGCTAATAATGGTCAAAATCTTCAAAGGCGCCCTTTTAAATCTTTTGATTATTTACCTTAGAGAAATAGCAACCTGGCTTCTTGTAACACAAGGGCAAGGTTTTTCACACTCTGGCAACCTAAGAGCCGGCGTTATCACAAGATTGCAGCTTTAAACTGCAATTACAGAGTCAAAGACGCTGTGCTAATAAATCTTCAGTGTAATCAAACATAATCAAAGCAGCCAGATTGCATTAGTTTGCAAAATGGAAACTGTTTAAAATGTTTTTGGTTTTATCGCGTTTTAGCACACCTGCAGTTGCTTTATATTCTTTTTTTTTTTTTTTTTTTTTTAGTATTTTTTTAGGCTTTTATTGCCTTTATGATAGTGACAGCTGAAGACAGACAGGAAAGGGGGGCAGAGAGAGAGGATGGCACGCAGCAAAGGACCGTAGGTTGGATTCGAACCCTGGGCCGCTGCAGCAATACTCAGCCTTGGTACATGGGTCGCCAGCTCTACCAACTGAGCTAACCAGGTGCCAAGGTTCCATATTTTCATAGAGCCAAAGCTGCTGTTTTCCACTGTCTTCTCTGTTTGTTTCTGCTCTGACCAGTCAGAGCGATCGCCAGCTCAGAGTTAGTCAGAGAATTGCGTGTACTGGACACAAGTGGCAACTTCTTCAACTTATGAAGAGAAAAAAAAAAGAGATGTTTAATTTACTGTGGACACAGCAGTTTAGTTGGATTGAAAATAATGAATCAATGCAGGACAGAACTGTTTGTACCTGAAGTTGGCAAACTCGAGTAAGGCGGATCAAGTTGGCTTGCACTCTGGCTTTTGTCAGTTGTTGCAGTCACTAATACCTAATATGGATACAAGTATATGCAGTTTTCTTTTAATCATTGTTTTATTTTGTAGTCATTTTTATGAAGGCTGTTTTATGAACTGAACTAGTTTGATACCAAAAAAAAACATATAAACCCACCCACATCATTCAGTTTTAAATATTGCATATTGCAACGGAGGCAAGAGCAATGGTGAATGATCACAGGTGCTTACTGCAGTTTGGGCAGCTGAAAAAGAAACACAGAAATGTCTGCACGGCCACATAAACCTCTCCAATAATTACTACCTATAGTTAGGGAAAAGTTCAGATGGCTGGTTCCATTTTGGATCTAGTTTTCTGGTCGGCAGAATACCTGGATGTGTTAAGCGCTGGTGATAATGTATCTTTAATCTCTCCTCACTCCTGTTTTTTGAGCAAAGAGTAACAGGAAACATATAGATAGCAGGCTTTTTTAACAGACACCACCAGTGGAGCGGGCCGATGCCCCGCTAAAGCACAAATAATGTTGCTCCACTAATTCACAGTGAAGGTTGCTTTGATCTATCAGGTTTGGTGAATGGATCACCTGTCCCCACTGCACTGATATGAACAGATAGACGTTTAGGATTTGTTCTGTCGGATTGGTATGCATTTGATTCTGTGTTGTTATCCATTCCTCTCCACTACTACTCTTGTATCCACTTGTCTCTCTCTGGGACTCTCTCTCTCCTCAACTGTGTGCTTGAAATAGATGTACAGCAGCAGATGGGTACTGGCAGGTTGTGGTGCGTGTGTCAGTCTATCAGCAGTTTTACAGACTGCACTTTTCCATGAGGCGAGACACATTTTTACATGTTCTTTCTGCTCTTTTCTACTTGTTTACTTCGTCTCTCTCTGTTGGTAGGAATATGACAATAAGTAGTGTGAAAATTCTACTGACAGGTGTGTGTGTGTGTGTGTGTGTGTGTGTGTGTGTGTGTGTGTGTGTGTGTGTGTGTGTGTGTGTGTGTGTGTGTGTGTGTGTGTGTGTGTGTGTGTGTGTGTGTGTGTGTGTGTGTGTGTGTGTGTGTGTGTGTGTGTGTGTGTGTGTGTGAAAAGGAAGCATTAATAAACAAAGGGATGCAGGGGTTGCCATGGCAATAAAAGAAAAGACAAATGCTTTAGTTCTGTCCATGTCTTTTTTCTGAGTTTCTCTGCCCTCACTCACACACTCACAATCACTCGCCCTCACTCATATATTCATTACACATGCATGCTTATAAAAATACACACACGTTCTGCACCTACAAAGACTGACACTAAAAATACATCTACAGTTACCATGGCAGGTCTTCTATAAATACCAGTTTTATTCATTGGTCAGAGACAAAGTCTGTTAAGTTAGCAGACTAGCATTGTCTCGAGATTTAACATAGTTTATTTTTTAATAAAACATGAGTAGTGTGCCAGACATATGTTAATCCCTTCCACTCTCCTGCTTCATGCTGAATTCACAATCTATAATTGAAATTGCATGAAGAATGTGCCCATTTGTCATTAGTAAAGCCTTAGGAAAGACCTATGTAAAGACACATCCGTCAGCAGTGAACCTGAAGGCTGACAGCATGGACTGTGTGTGTGTGTGTGTGTGTGTGTGTGTGTGTGTGTGTGTGTGTGTGTGTGTGTGTGTGTGTGTGTGTGTGTGTGTGTGTGTGTGTGTGTGTGTGTGTGTGTGTGTGTGTGTGTGTGTGTGTGTGTGTGTGTGTGTGTGTGTGTGTGTGTGTGTGTAAAAAAAACTAAGTCTGCTTTTGGACAAATGTAGCATGTGCTGCTGCACACTTAGGTGCAGTCCTTTAGACACACTCAATCCTACACAGACGCACACACACACACACACACGTTCCCTCCCACACTGTCATTAAACTAATCCAATTTTCACTCTCTCTCACACACTCACTCCTACACAGCGAGTCATACACACACACTTCAGCCGTGCTTGCCTCTCGCTCTCTCACATACACACAGATTCCAACCTGTTGCCCGGTCGCCATGGCGACAAGACTCAGACATAGAAGCACCAGAGTTGATTCTCGGCGTCCTGCCTCACACTGTGAACACGCAGAGACCAACTTACATACAAGGAAGTTCAGGCACATCGCACACACACAAAGAATGTGGCGTGCAAACGGCACAGACGGTAATATTGCGTCAGCACCTCCATACACCAATTAGTGACCATACCAGCCAGTTTCTAAGGACGGGTTTAAATAACTACCATGACTTTCTTTCCTGTTTTAAGTAACAGTGTATAATTTATTTAGTTTTATGTCTAAAGCTACATTTTCTCTTATCCATAATATAGTTCAATACACTGCAAGAAGAAACATATACTTTAGCATGTCCAAGAGTAATCACACTCCTCTCAAACACCACTCAGCGTTTTTCTCTTTTTCTTCTCTCCTGCTCCTCTGCTGTCTCCATCACCACCACTTCTACTCCACTTGACTCACCAGATGATGGGGAAGACGGACGGCGAAAACTACACGCTGGATGACATGTTTGTGTCAGGTGCAGCCCAGCGGGAGGGCGAGGGGAGGGAGGAGGAGAGGATGAGGAGCAGAGCCATCGGGGAGAGTAGGAGGCTGGCTGCCTCTATGGATAAATGCCAGCACTGCTTCAGCAGCAAAGAGCTCCAGAAGCACCTCATTGTAGCAATAGGGAGCAAGGTAAGGGTCCGTGGATGTAGTAGGCTTTGAGGTGGGGGCATGGGACTCATTAGTCGCTTAATTGATTTATCAGGCAACAAGTTTGATAATCAATTCATTGTTTAAGTCATTTATCAAGCGGAAATGTTCATCACCATTCACTGATATCATCATTGACTCATTTTTGTGAGGCATGAGCTCTCAAATATGATGTTTTTAAGGAGATTTTCTCTTGAAATAGGACTCATTCTTTCATAACACAAAGTGTTGTCCAACAGTACAAAAACCCAAATGTATCCAGTTTACAATCATAGAAGAATTAGAAAACCATGATATATTTAGATTTCAGTCAGTTGACACATAATCAGCTGATCGTTACAGCTCTAAACTGAAAAACTAAAGCTTTTGAACTGTCAGAATAAACACATCTAATCTATAGATATACAAATATATAAAGTCATTGATGCATTTCTAATTTTTTTCCTGCAATGTGTGTATGTGTTCGCAATCTCAGGTGTACCTGAGCCTGCCTGCAGGAGTGTCGATGACAGAGGGCCACTGTCGCATCTGTCCTCTCCAGCATCATTGCTCTGCCACTGGATTGGATGAGGATGTCTGGTCAGAAATGCAGGTTAGCCAATCAGTGCTCCAGATCTTGTCAATCCAAACTAAAGTGACAACTTCAGTGACTCTCGTACAGCAGTGGTAGATGTAATGTAATGTAATTGTAATTGAGTTCACTTTTGTGCTGCTTTGCTTCCCTCAGCTGTTCCGGCGCACTTTGGTGCGTATGTTTGAGTCCCAGGAGCTGGACTGTGTGTTCATGGAAACACACATGAACCCACGCAAAAGGCAACACATGGTCCTAGAGTGTATCCCGCTACCCCGAGAACTGGGCGATATGGCACCTATATACTTTAAGGTCGGTGTGTGTATTGAGTCTGATCAAGTTTTTCGTTTTTTTCGTTTTTTTTTACATTAATGCATAAGAAAATGTGTGAATGTCCTCACAAGGGTGGTAATACAACAGTTTCTGTGTGCCTTCAGAAAGCTATCATGGAGTGTGACGAGGAATGGGCCATGAACAAGAAGATTGTCGACCTCTCTTCCAAAGACATCCGTCAAGCTGTACGCTCTTTGTCTTTTTCTAAACTTGTTTGGTTTTCCTTACTTTCTCTCGTATTTCTTACCACCTGTCCTGCCTTACTTCTTTCCTCCATAACCTCCTTCCTTTCATTTTTGTTAATTGTTGTTAATTGTTTGTTTAATGCCTCTTAGGTTCCTCGAGCTCTGCCCTACTTTGCTGTAGACTTTGGTCTCCAGGGAGGGTTTGCTCATGTCATTGAAAATGAACAGAAGTTCCCCCATTACTTTGGCAAGGTCAGTGTGTGCATTAAGGCTGTTACACTTGGTACATCATTATGTGTTCTTCTTATTTTTAGCTACTAGAAATCACCAACCTTTGGTTCCAGGAATTTCATAAAACTGTACTGTGCATGTGTGACATTATTTCCAGTTAATTTCACAGCAATATTCCCATATGATCAATCCCTCTTTCCCTCACAGGAAGTGGTTGGAGGCATGATGGACTTGGAGCCGCGGCGTTGGAGAAAGTTGATTAGAGAGAACTTTGACGATCAGAGGAAAAAAGTCCTGCAGTTTGCGCAGTGGTGGAAACCGTATGACTGTACCAAGACTGAGGGCTAACTGGAGACCACACACACACACACACACACACACACACACACACACACACACACACACACACACACACACACACACACACACACACACACGCTTTGGTTCGTATAGTGCATGAAATTTGGTGAATGTGGTGCAGACACTGTTGCACATACCAGCTCAGAATTTGTTGTAAAATTTGCCAAAGTTGTTATGTGAAACATTTTTACTATAAAACAAAAAATAAAATAAATAAAATGTATTTGTTGTTATTTTTATATTACGTGCTGGAAATAGTTTCATATCACCATTTCTTTACTTTGAGAAGACCTCATTTCCCCATCATACATCAATACTAAATATTAAAATAAAAATCGTGATTTGTGTGTGTAGTTTTTGAAGGTAATCAAATAAGACTCTCAGGCAGGGGTCAGCAACCTTTATATAAAGAGCAATTTCTAAATTTAAACCAATTTTTCTCCCATAATCAGGACATATACGAGAGCACTATATAAGAAGGCTGCCATCCTTATGGAAATATCCACATCTCTTAAGGGATGTTTTTATACATGGATGCAAAAGATTTTTTATTTGTTTGGTGTAATTCAATACACTTACAATAATATAACACAAATGCAGCTAGGTTGATGGATAGTGGAACATCTTTGAAGCGGTTTCTTGCGTTCGAGAATTGAATTGCAGCTGTTTCCATGTGTCATACCCCTGGGATTTAATTTCTTACTCCGGCCTCATGCAGCTGTCACTTAATTCTAAGAGGTTCCAGTGTCAGCACAGCCACATGTCAGTGTATACAAGAGCAATCGGGCTGCCTTGCCCCGGCACGCAACCTCATCTTTTCAGAGTCTCACCCTATTTCCAGGTGTCATCTCAGACACCATGTGATGATAGGTAAAGCTGGTTAGTGCCGAATTTGTGTGAATCACTAAAGATGAATCACTTTTTGTTTGTACATGTGCTCACATGGGAAAAAGCTTCAGAATCAGGATTTTCTCCCTCTCTCTACTCTGACAGTAAACAGAGAGACTGCTCTTAATAAATCAATCCCTCTTGTCAGAAACCTAAGGGAGACCCTATCTGGAAGAGTGATAGGAATAGATCCCACAGGTACACTGTAGTCAGTAAGTTGTTAATATATGTAGGATAATCTCCATCTATAATCATCATTTGTGCTACATTCTAAACCCCCCTATGAGCATTTCTCCCCTGGTACACTTTCATTACTTTCTGTCCCTCATGATTAGAATATATGGGAAAGTATTTCTTACTTTCATAGTCGGGAAAGGGCCATAGTTATTTGCACCCACAGTAGGGACATTTTTGCTCTTGTAGTCAACACTGTGGCCCTTTAATTTATGAAATAGTTGTCAACATACTCCTCAGCTTGCACTTATTTCAAGTCAAATTGAACAAGAAAGTAAACTTTCAGAACAGACACATGGTGAGAGCAGGGAGATTGTCCTCTACTTGCAGGATCCAGGCTCCAGTCCTCGTCAGCAAGGACACACGGGCACAGAGAAAATTAATTTCCCTGAGGAGGAAGCATTGTGTTTTGTTATTATTTATCATTATTTTGTTTCATTTTAAAGATCGGAAGCCATGGCGACAATAGTGTCTCTGCAGCTCAATCAATGGACTGTGGATTATTTATAGTTTGAATGTGCATCAGAGGACCAGTTCTACTATAAATCAGCAGTAATTCAATTTGTCAACCACCACTTGAGTACGATGTAACTGCCAAAAAAACGAATCCCGCAATCAAAGTGCATACCCAAAGGTCGCATCATAATGTGATCATTTTCAGGACATTCACCTGAATCTGTAAAGCATTTTTTTTAGTGTAACACCACAACATGCACATTTACTACTCTTTAACCCAATTTGTACATTTGAAACCATCCCTTGGGACAGTACAGCAGGTTATTTATATTGCACAAGTGACAGAGAGGCCCAGGTTCATGGTTAATAGCAGCAGAGTGGCGTGGAGTGATGTATGGTTATGGCCAATTAGATTGGCTGGGGGCAGATTTATGACCAAGACAGCCATTTCTCTTCCCCTGTCTCTGCCTCACACACACATCCCTTCCAGAGTTATTCTGCAAACCCCCACACCATGCTGTTTCATCCTCCTCTCCTCTGTTTCATTCACTTATTCGCTCATGCTGCCTCATGTTCTCTGATTTCTCCTTTTTCTTTTTCACGTTCTCTCTTTTTTATTTTTAATACTCCACACAGTCATTCTGCGCCATTAGCAGGCCGGAGACACGTATTTGACTGTGAGAATGTGGCAATAATAAATCTTCTGTGTGTGCTACCACACTAGTACTTCCCACAGACACACACACACACACACACACACACACGCACGCACAGGAGAACTAAAATATCTAATAGCTCCAGAGAGGGGTACACAGCAATGAAATCCTCAAGTTGTGTGTGTCTTGTACGATTGTGTTTTATGTTTGAGTGACTTTCTGCTTATCTCTGGGGGAAAAGCACCTGGTTTTGACTCACTGGTGTGTGTCGAGGGGCTGAACCTTTTCTTATCTTCCTGCATTCCACAACTACACATAATTTCAGATTTAGACTCCGCTCAGTGTGTCTGCGTCTGTTCCTGGATGATTTTGTCTATATATGGTTTTTCTTCCCCTTTTTGCATGCATTTATTTGGAATATCTGTGTATGTGTGAGTGCATGTTTTTTGTACATATGTGTATATACAGTATGTTTCTCAAGGAGAATCCATACTTTTAGACTCTAGATACGCAGGGTTGTACCTGAGATGACACCGTAAATCTGTCTGCAAAACACGCACGGTATTTCCTGCTTCTCTTCTCATACACTTCGTCTTTATGGACCTATTTCCTGCAATACTGTGAAATTTATTGCTTAATATTTTAAAACGTGCTTTAAATTATGAATTTATCTTGCTTAAAGGCCATTAGTGTTACTTTGGATTGGAATGGGCATGATTTATTTTGATTGTAGATCATTTGATAATTCAACCTTCCAGGGCAATGGAAAATTCAAAAAATACCTACCTTATAATGCCATAAAATACAGGTTAGCAGTGTTTGAAGGGTTATATTATAAACCGTATACTGACGAGTCCAAATTACTGACTCTCATCATTAGGAAACATTACACATATTACACACTAAGACTCGGGGTTGGCCTGCTCTACACTTTATTTCCATGGTAATGTAATTAAAATTTGATGTCAACCATGTTAGATGAACCCATTGGACGCGATTACCATGATACCCCAAGAGGGCCCCTTTCTATTTATTCTAATTGCATTGGAGCTCACTGTCAGTTACTGAGCCATTGCCCTGTCTGCACTCAGCTAAAGATGGCTGGCTGCTAGTGGGCTTATCTTCTCTGGAACATTATTTATTTCATTGTGGTGTTGGCTTTATTAAATGCCTACATTATAACTGATGGATGGCAGACTGATTGCTAAGAGCAAACGACCAGATAAGGAAAGAGAAAGCGAGACGGAGAGTGTGTGTTAGAGTGTGTGTAGTGTGTGATAGTGCAGGCTATGTTTGAGAGAAAGAGTGTGTGCGTGTTAGAGACAGAGAAGGAGCAGTAAAAATCTATGCAATGTATCGGGGTCATGCTGCTCCAGAAAGTCAAATGAATTAGTAGGCACCTCCAGGAAATTACACTGTGATGTGGGTTTCTGTGCGCACATGCATGCACTTGCATGATGCATCATGTCTGTCTCAGTGTCCCTTTTGCTTGTCCCTTTGGGGCCCTTAATGAACAGACATGCTCTGCCAATCGAGGTCAAGGTCATAGCTGTGATTAGTGCCAGACACGAGCATCATTCTGTGCTCTGATGGGAGGCAACAAGCGTGTACCACCGCTGCCAGCTCCATTATCTACCCGTGGAGCCATATTTGTCCTTGTATACCCATACATTTGGCACACTGCCACGAATTTGGCCTATTGGCCATGACTGTTATTTGATTACTATCAGATGTCGCTTGATTACCATTTCCCCTTAGTTAATCGAGGAACAATCACCTGTTTGTTGCCTGCCAAGATGCCGCTATTGTAGGAAACTGTAAATGACACGAGAAATAAAGAGGGATATTGACCCAATATTTTATTTTAGACATGGCCAGATAAACATATTTCACCTCCTGACCCTCCACACCCTCAGCTACTACCCTTTCTGCATGTTAAGTTCCCATTAAGTGCAGCAGACTACACATGCTGGGGCATTATGTGTTGAGAGACCAACCAGTATTCTTGTGACAACATTTGGTCCATAGCAGTCCATTAAAGTGTATTCTTCACCTTGGAAATGTATCTGAACACTCCTGACTCAAGGATCCCTGCTTTGGGCTTTCAACCATATACATGTTTTTTTTTTTTTGTGAGTCAAATTAGTTTGTGCTAATCTTATTTACTTCATTTGAGAATATGCAGCATGTGTGCGCAATACAAACTAAAATATAAAAGGCTTAAAACGAGGTTTTGACACAGGCTCCCTCTAAGGCTAATGGGGTTACAAGGTTTAATAATGCAGCACCCGCCTTAAATTTGACATTAATCTACCAAAACCAACTGACATGTGGGAAATGTAGGACTTTTGGGGCCCCTGGGGTGAGGACCATGAGGACACTGAGTTAATGTCTTCACTCTATCTATCTACCTCTATCTATCTATCTATCTATCTATCTATCTATCTATCTACCCATCCTCTGATTGGCTGGGGTTTATTGTCCAACTAAAACGCAGAACAGCGCGCTAATGCGTACTTCACCGCGCGAGCTCGGCACATCACCGGTGCGTGCTGCTGTTGGCTGACCGCGCGCGCCAACTCTCGCTCTCTCTCCGTCTTCCCTCGCGCATCCTCCTCTCCAGCCACCTCTTCGCCCGCGACCCCCGAGCGACGACCGGAACAAAAAGCCGAGGAGCAACGGTGAGGGAATTACAAGTGAAAGATGGACGAATGATGAGCGGACCGTTAGTTGGCAAACAGACAGGAGAACCGCTGTCGCAGAGGACGAAGAGGAGGAGGAGGAGGAGGAGAAGGGACGGAGGAGAGATAGAAGCGGTCACATCTGCCGCGACTTTGGGGATTTCTCTCCGGCAAAGTGGGGAGAAAAAAGAAGGGGGAGACGCCACATTCTTCGGACGCCAAAATCCACCGTGTGTGGGACAGAGATGGTTAACATGTGTCGGAATTACCGGGGAGGACAAACACGTCGATTCTGGCGACCGGTTGTCATGGTACTGTTTGGCAATTTCGTCAGTTAAGGTAACGTCTGCTTTGACACAGTTGCGGCGCGAGTCAACGTTCCGCCGTATGTAAGCCAACGGCTAAAAACGGCTGTTCTTAAAAAAAAATAAACAGTTGCTAGGGGTTCTCTGTATTCTTTTAAATATATATATTATATATTATATTATATATATATATATATATTTGTGATTTGAAGCATCCTCTGGAGTTGGCCTCCCACGGAGCAGGGTGGATTTGTTTTGGGGGCAAAGGAGGACGATTTTTTTTAAGAGGCGATACCCTCATCTCCTCCTCCCCCCCTTACATAAATGTTTGCGTGCCGTTAGTGCTCTCGTTCTCTGTCGACCCCCCCCCTCACCCTCACCCTCTCTCCCCCCCTCTGAATAGGTTGCTGAGTCTCACACGCAGAGAGACACATCTCATATGCACACATAGACACAGACAGACCTGCACATTGTCTCACGCGCACGCACGCACGCATCTCATATGCATACATAATTACACAGACAGACTTTAACCCCCCTCCTCCTCCTCCTCCTCCTCCTCCTCCCCCCCACCACCACACACCCACCCAACCCTCCTCTCACCCCTCACTATCTGATGACTCCCCGGCGTAGAGGTGGACGTGGTACGGAACCGACTGTAGCAGCATCATCATCCTCAACACAACCACTGTCATCATCATCAACATCACCACCATCCTCCTCCTCCTCTTCCTCGCCACCACCACCACCACAACCACCACCACCACCATGTCCTCGTCGTCGCGCAAGATCTCCTCCGAGTCGTTCAGCAGCTCGGTGGGCTCGGACTGCGGGCTCGAGAGCCCCGGGGGAGACGGAGGGGACGGCGGTTTGGAGACGGCGGAGGAGAGCCGAGGCTGCCCCTTCTCCTCCTTCCCTTCCTCCCACAGAGCGGTGCTCTGGAACGGCCGCAGCCCCGCCGAGAGGTCGGCGTGCCCGGCGGGCGAGGAGCAGCAAGGACCCGCTGGACCCCACAAGAGGGTCACCAGGAGGAGACGGGTGAACCTGGATTCGCTGGGGGAGAGCCTGAGGCGACTGACCTCACCCATGGTAGGCCTCCAGCTTGTGCCATAAAGAAATATCATTATTTTTCTCCAATAGAAAGTTGTAATTCCATATAGACATCTGGTCCTCTAGTGTTCAATAGGAACTTATCCAGTGTTATTAATGCTGAATAGTGAATGCTATATCTCATATTATAAAGCCTAACTAACTGATAGTTTACTGAAGATCTGTACACACTTCTAAAATCTGTTTAAATGCTTTTTTGTCCTATTGTGTACAATTAGAGCCTGGCATTACAGACCAAATCAATGACTGTTGGTCTTCAGAAGATACTTAGTGATTTTTATTTCTGAGAGACAGTCAATATGATGAGAGCCAGAGGCATTTATTGTTTTCCCACACAGCTGTCTCCAAAGTTCAGAAGGAACACAGCCTTTAAGACAAAAATTCAAGCTATTCATCCGTAGTGCAATTGTCCAAAATCCCAGACGAGGACTTTTCTCTCATCATGATGTGTGCTGTGCTGTCTACGAAAAAAAAGCCTCTTTTTTAATCCTTCCCTTCTGATAGCCTGAATCATCTGGCACATTATATAATAAATATGTTGTTATGAGGGAGAGGAAGAGAGAGAGAGAGATGCCCATGCTCTGTCTGTGTATATGTAATGATGTGAGGAGTGTGACGAATGAGCCTGTTTCTGTGTCTCAGTTGTATTACAGGCTCTAATGTAAAAAGAAGTTATTAGATTGGAGCGCAATTGTGATGGATGGTGTGTGATTAGGGCATTTGCTATTGCATAGTCTTTTGTGATGATACATACGTTTTGGATTTGATTGCATGTCCCATAATGTGGCTGCTGTATGTGGTATATATATATATATATATATATATATATATATATATATATATATGTATATATATATATAAGTAGACAGACAGACACACAGACAGATGTCTAAGATGTGGAAGAAACAAAAATGCCCTATGCGAGAGGACTTTCGCATGAATTAGTCATACAATAATCTCACAGGCAGCTACACAGTCAAGTAATATTAAGTCACTAAGTCATTAAATATTTTCCTTTTCATGCAGCAGTCGATAGCATGTCAGAGAGGTCAAATAACCGGTTCTTAAATTTCAGTATAATGTGAAAATGTGAATCTGAATTAGGAAATGTTGCACTTCAAATTAGAAAATCCAATTTACAAGGTGATGTAATTTAAATTGACCGACAGAACAAACTAATGTTTTCGATATTGTTGTTGATATTATGTGACTGCTTCCTACTACCAAAGATACCAAAGACGTGACAGAGGTTAGAGAACTTCTTTCTGGTCATGTTTGGCCTAAGAACAGTGACATACATAGACTCACACTTGCAGCGTTGAAGTCACAACTCTTTGGTAAAGTGATTATGAACTTATTATCTCAACAGTTAAAGCCGCTTTAGAGGTTTCTAAAGCACATTCACCACATTGATTGTTTAATCATTAATGTTTTATGATTCCATGTAATAAAACAGCAACATGAGCATGTCAGTATAAGTTTCTTGCTGGCCTACTGTAGAATTTACGGGCAATATACAGATGTTTTACTACATGTTTTGGTGTGTCTACTCTTAATGTTAAACTGTCTATACCAATCAATTGTAAACTTCTGCTGTCTAGAGTTTTCCCGCTGGGCCTGCAGCATATCATAAACCAGAGTAAGTAGTGATAGGGTTGTGGTTTAATATGAGATGGCACTGTTTTAGTTTTGTCATTCCACATATTGAAAGCAAGAGCTGAAAGTGTCTGAAAGCAAAGAGCTGCAATGTATGGTGTTGATTCTCAGTGGCACCAGTAGTACTAGCGAACTGTTTTTTTATTTCCTAATTCACGTCTAATGTGTATCTTATCTTCCGTAAGTTCATTCTCTATAATATATATATATATATATATATATATATATATATATATATATATATACGTATGGTCCATGAAATTAGAAATAAAGCTACAAAACTCAAGTAATTCACCGTTAATGCTTCAGTGTTTCCCCTAGACTTTTTGTCTGGTGGTACGCATCAGATGAGGCGTGCGGGTTGGCAAATTGATGCGGTCTGCTTTCAGTCAGATGGCGCAATTTATATTTGCACTTATAAATCTTTGTTTGCTCGCTATATTCAAGACTTAAAACAAAGTGATGATAAGGAGAGGATTGCATTAAAATAAGCTGTGTAACCTATAACCTTTGCAAAACATTAGCACATCATAAACACAGTGTGCGTGATTCATTGCTGCATTTCACCATGGCATCATGATATGGATATACTATCTCAAGTGCTCTCCTTGCAGCCTGTTCCTGAGATACGTTTTTCCCTACCGAAAGTTAAGATTTGGACTATTATAGGAGAAACACTGGTGCTCCATTACCATCTGATCTCCACATTGTACCACTGACAGAATGATAGAGATGGATTGATGGATAAAAAGATAAACAGTTTTGTGCTCTAGTCATAATCTAGGAGTTTTGAGCTCACATGGGTTCCAGATCTATTTATTCCTCACTCTGCTGAGTTTTCATCAGACTACAGGAGGTCGTGGGAATAGGTTTCTCCAAATTGCAAAGGCTCAGACCCTGTGGTCGCGTTCCTAGGAGAAATAGATGTTGCAGAGTAAAGGACATAGGAGAGCAGTGATTGTCAGGCTTTTTTTGCTGCTCAGGCACAACCTCGCAAAATAATGAAATTCAACAGCACAGCTAAAAATCTGAAGTTGGTGTATAGTGGAGAGGACCACTGAGAGCCAACTTCAGCTCTCAGCTGCAGCTCTTACTGGCCCTGATCTTTAGTAGATCTGTGAAAAAAAATAGGGCAAAGGGAACACTTAAAGACAGGTTTGTATAACACTCAATGAGCATAATACGTGGGCAACATTGTAGAACTGTGTTTCTCTTTGTGTGTGTGTGTCTGTGTGTGTGTGCATGCATGTGTTTGTTTGCCTGTAAGTGCAATTACAGGCATCCGTTGGGCATCAATGGAGCCTTTTTAAAATCTAAATATGTAAGGGTCATTATAGTGTTCTGCTTTGGTCACAGGGATGGGAATAGGGTAAATGTCCAAGGTCTTTTTTCAGCTTTCAACTGTGTTTGTGTGTGTGTGTGTGTGTGTGTGAGGCTGTAGTGTGATAGAGCAGATTAAACTCTCTCTGCCAAACAGCCAGTGGATTTCTCCTAAAGCATGTTTAATGTTTGTCCACTTTCAAAATACATGAATAGTGATCATGCTGTCCGAACCTACAAATTAGACAATAGACACGTACATATATTCACTCACTCACTGTTTATTATCTTTTTTGTTCTCTCTCTCTCTCTCTCTCTCTCTCTCTCTCTCTCTCTCTCTCTCTCTAACACACACACACACACACACACACAGTGGCTGCGTGCAGTGGCAGTGTCTGTTGTTGACTGCAATGGACCGTGACAGAGGGAACAGAGCATGCTCTCTGTGGTTGTCTTCACCCTGACCAACCTGACCCAGAAGCACACACACACACACACACACACACACATTTACATTTGTGCAAACATCATTTTTTTGTCTCCCTCTCTCAGTTTCGTGTATACACACGGAAGGTGGCCATTAGCTTAGTGACCCATGATGCTGATCAAAAGGCCCTGAGTGTTGGCCACAAATATGAAAAGTGTGAGACTAGTGTGTGAGTGTGCTAATGTGTGTGTATATGTGTGTATCCTAAATCTGTGGTCTTCCCTATCAGGAACCAGTTTTAATAAGGAGTAGATGTACTTTGCGTTTAGCTAAATACACAGTTTGGTCATTGTTAACACATGTTGGCTGTTTTCATTAACTTTCGCCACACTGCTTTGTATGAGTTTACGTGTTGAAGTTGGCTGTTTTGCTGTGATTTGTTTTCCACGAATAGGGCGAGTTTTCAGATATTCATTCATAACTCCACTGGCCATTTTTGTATTCTCAAACTATAACTCAAACAATCAATGTAACAAAAGTGATTTATTTTGTCTGTAACTACACAAAGTAGTGATGATTTGCCCTTCACCACAATCTCTATTATACCATCAGTACAGATAAAGAAAAACATTTGAGGATTTACAGGTTGTCAATTAGTCTACTAGCCTGTTTATAAATCATATTGATTTGTGATGACACTTTAACACTTTCACACAATATATTCTTTAGCATTTTTGCCTTTATTGGACAGTTGATAGTGAAGCTACGACGAGTAACAAGGAGAGAGAGGGATATGATATGCAGCAGAGGTCCTCAGGCAGAATGAAAAGGTGGATGTTGAGCTGTCATGCTTTTAAAATATTGATTTGAAAGCCGTCATTGTTATACACTAGTATTTATATATATATATATATATATATATATATTTTGGCCTTTTATTGTCTTTAATCGATAGTGACAGCTGAGTGACAGGAAAGGGGATATGAGACGCAGCTAAGGTCGGCTTCGAGCCCTGGTTCATGAGGCGCCTAGTAGAGCTGGCGCCCCATGAACCAAGGCTAAGTGTGTTTTGAATGCAGTAACAACCACAGCAGCAATTTATAGATGTACAGGACTAATGGGCTTGTTAGTAACCAATGCTCAAGGTTGTCGTCCTACTTATTGATTTTATACATTATGCTTCTCTCCAAGTGGCCAAAATGTACGTAATTAAACTAGAATTACGGTCCTCTGAAGATATACTTAAATGTCTCTGTTGAGCCAACACAGAGGAGGGTAATATGGATAACTGTAGGTCGTCAAGGCTCGCAGAGGAGTTGATGCGCAAATCTCAACTATGCGTTGTTTGGACCTCACTGGTTGATTGAACTCCTGTTTGTGTCTGAGCAACCACCATAATTCCAGCTTTATAGTGACAAATAGCACACTGAAATGTTTATGTCCAGGGAAAATACTCTCCCTAGCCCTGTCCAATGCAGTGGCTGCATTATACCGCTGACACAGCTGACTTAATAGTCACATTAATTGCTGTGCTCAGAGACAGCCTTAAAATATCCTGATGTAAAACAGATTGCAACAGAGTTGTTTTCTTTGTACCTGCTTTATTACTTGCCTCCTCCCTGACAGAGAGGCCTGATGCGTCTCATGCTGGGATTTATCTGGCTGGGTCTCATCTGGTGTATGAGTTTCTATTTTCTTTAGTAGCAGTGGCAGATTTCCAGCTGTGCTGAAGCACCGGTACCCACTGCTCTGTGACCATAGACCACACCGGTTCATGCTAATAGCAATTTAGAGGAGGAAGATGTATTAAAAAGAGGGCGAGTAGGAGCTGGTCCACTGCGCTGTATGTGTGTGTGTTGGAGGGAATCAGACAGGCAGGAGAGGCAGGTTCACATACAGTAGAGCAGAGTATGACTGAAGCTCTCAGGGAAAGAAAGCAATACAGAGCAACAGAGCAAGAGGAATGGAGTGAGTATTGGTGAGATTCTGCTCCCCTCCCAAGGTAAAGAAACAAAGCAAACAAGAGACAGAGTGGTTTGGGTGAAGAGGGGGGACTAGAGTAAGAGGATGGGATAAAGGAGGAGAGTGTGTCAGAGTGTTTTTGGACACTTTTTAAATCTTTTTCCCCTTAGATGCTATTTCATCTGCCTACACACTATCGTCATTGCCAAGTTGGCATAATAATACTTCAAAATCTTTATTCAGTTAGTCAGTTTAATAACATAACTCTGTGTTACTTTGTTACATTTATATTGTACTAATCAATAGACATTATGTTGTATTCTAAGAACCACCCATTTTTATATTGTTCTACTAGCTGTTCGGCAAATCCTACCATCTAAGCACGTTTCTGTGTGTGTGTGACTGAGTGAGATTAATGTGTTCTGGGGTATTGAATTGTCTGTACAGTAAACATGCCAGCTATTGTAACAATGCAGACTAATGATGATGTATGTGTACAGTATGTTTGCTCATGTGTGTATTTGTGTGTGGCTGATAACAGTTAGCGCCTGTGTGTTTGGTCATGTTGTAGAATTGTGTGCACATACACTATAATGTGCATGTTTTGTGGTAAATGAGTGTCTGAATCAAGGACGCAGTAAGAGATTGTCATGAGAAAACACCATTTCTGTTCTTCACATGCACATACTGTATACTGTAGACATTCACACAAATATGTAAGTAAGGAAAAGAGATGTGACAGGGGAGTAGAAGCAACTTTTTCTCACAAATAGACTGAAAATATGGCCCACTGCGTATTTTTTTTGTTACACAGTTAATTCTATAAAGTGTCCATCTTGCTCCTGTTGTTGCTAAGACACACTGTAGCTAAAAGTAAAAATATTTTTGTATCAGCAGGCGTTGTTTCAAGTAGCTCTGACTGCTACAATATTCTCAGTTGTGAGTGTTGTTGAGGATATCGACATAAATGCAACATAAAGAAAAAAGAGCCAGCACTGTCAAATTCGTTAGCTGCAATATGACGTCCTATAACCCGTTTAAAACACCTGCTGACTGCACACACACTGTCTCTCTCATTTCTCACTGTCTTGTGTTTTTACTCTGCAACCCCACAACTCACTAGTCTCGGTCCCTCTGCCTCTTCATACGCGTACACACACGCATGTACACGCACAAAATCTCTTCTGTATCTGTCCGGAGTGGGCGGAGGCCTCCGAATGACCTCTCCAGCTGGCACACTGTGTTCTAGTATTGTCACTACAGCCTTGAATTTAAGCCGTATCACAGATAATCACATTGGACCCGCCTTCTCAAGCCTAGGCTGTCAGTAAAGTGAAATATGCCAGCTTTATACATACACACGCACACACGCCGTAGACACAGCCAATCCAGGAGTGTATTATGGTCATCTCGAATTCTTTTATATTTTGTCTTTTTTTGAAGACCTTTGAAAGAAGGAAATAAAAAAAATGTGAGTGAGCACAGAGAAACTTTCCACTTTCGGCAGATGAATGTTCAAACATCCAACTGTAGGAACAAGAAGAAATACGTACGTTTGAGTGGAAGGGGACTAGAAATGGGTAATATATAACTGTTTCAAGAATCCGTAGGCTTACAGATAGGCCTTTTTCACAGCAGACATGTTGACAGTGTTGGTGAGCGTCTCGTTGGTCTGCTCAGATGGTCAGGTGTGCATGAAGTGATTGATTGATTGGTGATTACTGAATATGCCCCCCCCCCACACACACACACATACATATATATGCTTGTCTAATACTTTCCCTTCCTTCTGCAGACACAGACTGTTCAGGAGGCTCTGCAGCGAACTCTACAATTCTACAGACAGCAAGAGATCAGGTAAGACTGTCTTTCTCGCTTGCTGTCGGCCTCTCTCGCTGGTTCTCTTTCTGACTCCCGTCCTCTTTTATCAATCTCCACACTCACTTGCTGTCTACCTGCTACCTTGTCTTAGTGTCCCTATCACTCATTTTCTCCCCTTTGCCTTTATTTTGTCTGCCTGTCTGTCACACATGTGCATACACACACCTGTTCAGTCTTTGTAAGGCTTTCACTGTCTCTGCTACCTCTCACTCTCCCTGCCTCCTTGTCTTTTTTGGTCACATAGAGAGACAGACAGACACACACACACATACATATAAAGACACTCCTTCAGCTCTTCCCTCTGCCACTCTCTCCCTGTCAAAACAGTAAAACCCAGTAGAGAGGGGTCAGCCAGGGCACAACACCTGCTGACATTGTCCATGAAGCGCATTACAGCATACAGATATAGACACTGGTTTGGGACCTCTCTGAATGTTCTTTTCTTCTTCTCTCCTCTCCACTCTCCTTCAAACCTTGACCTTGCTTTTTGCCACTCTTGATTCATGTACAATGCAGCTGAGCCCTGGTTTAGTTTAAGCAAATCATATATTGACACACATTAGTCTGTTCTGTGGTAAAGGGGGGGTTTCTTACACTGGTTTCTTTGTGTCTTTCTTTATGGAGGTGATATAGTGATGTTGGACCAAATAATGATGAGCAATCCCAGAAGTAATTCTTTATACTGGTATATTTGAATATAAATATTTATTTAGGATTATCTTGAGCGTTATTGTGATACACTGACTGTAGTTGTGGTGTAAAGGTTAGAAATGTAGCTCATGACCAGAGATGGTCTCTAGTCCCCTAATTCCCTAACCAACAAAATAAATCTGCGAGAGAATGTGAAAAAGCATCACTTGCCCATTACCATTGTTCAGGTGACCTTGAGCACTTTTCCCCCTGTCTTTCTGTTGTCCAGCTGCTACTGTGAATCTGCTCAGTGACCAAAAATATAAACCTACACAGCCTAATTAAAGTGTCAGGTCACCTAAATCACAAAAAACAAACAAACACATGCAGTATATTCCCACTTCCCCTTAATGGTATCTATCCATGCAGAGATTTTTGCCACCACCCCAACAAAATGGGATTTAAAGAAGTGTTGTTTGTTTTGCTCACTGCACTGAAAAATGGCATTTTAAAATCTCACCAACAAAACAGTTTTTCCAGAAATAACCCACAACAGTCAAGAGTTTTTAATGGATATACTTTGTTATGAAGATAATAATGTGTGACAGCACAGCTTGTACAAGAAAAACAAAAAAAGAAAAAAATTGTCCATGGTGCATCTTGAGGGGATGAGATAGAGATTCATCCTGTCATTGGCTTGTTAGCGCCCTATTAGCTCTTATTTGCTGATATCATGGTTAATCATGGCTTATCCTGTGTGTGTTTGGTGTGTGTCTTTGACAGGTGTCAGGAAGTTGGCAGTGAGGAGCGGCGAAGAGAAAGGGATAAGTGCCCATTTCTAGAAAATTCTGGTTCAGAGGAAGATGTCCTACAAATCCTTCAGTACATGGCCACCATACTGGGTAAGTATGTGAAGTAAATTAAGATGTGTGTGTATTATTGTGTTTGTTAAGGGAGGGAGGATAGACAGGTAGGGACTCTATACATGTGTTTGTGTCTTCTCTGTGTATGAGTTGATGTTGTTATGAGTGTGTGTATGTATTTAGTTTTCACCACTTTGTTTCTGGCTATGTTCTTTTTCTGTTGTTGCTTGGAATTGATTTTACTGTACTTTATTTTTATTACGTGCCAAGCAACACGTAGACACCGTTTCCTTTTTCCCCCATCGATGTCCTTCAGCATCAGTATTATTTGTGTGTGTCTGTGTGTGTGTGTGTGTGTGTGTGTGCGTGTGTGTGTGTGTGTGCGTGTGTGTGTGTGGACAGTGAAATGCAGTAGGGATGTCCCGATCCGATCTCAATCTAACTGATAGGTATTGACCTTTATTGACTCGGTCTGATCTTTATGTCAGCTGTTTTTACTCACAAAGCTTTCTGCCTCTCCACTCTGCTGAGCTCTGTGTGTCAGTGTGTGTCTCCACTGAAGTTTCTCCTCTGAACAGAGGCAGCCCTGCCCGCTTTTCTAAATGACTGGAATCGGGGGCTAAATGAAGCCATCCCCCCAGAGGCTAGATCTCTTTTTTTATGACACTTTTAATGAAAAAATAGAGTATCATGAGCTAGGTAGCACACATACAGACAAATATACTATTTACACATGCAAAAACACATACATACATGTAAAAAGAAAAAAACACACACACACTGTATGACTCACTCTTGAGGCTTGCACTATCTTTATGGCCTAACACGACACACACGTTGTCCTAGTGATACACTCAGTACAGCGTCGTCCTCCCTCTATACCATCTAAGATCTCTTCCTGCCTCTTTCTGTAGTCTTTCTCTGTCCTATCTTTTGCACAGCTACCACCACTGACTGTAAGCATTAACTGTACACTACTACTGTATTTCTTAACTTCTCTGTCCTTCAGTCATCTTCTTATCTGTCTCCATGTGATCTCCATCACACTTTTTTTCAGCTTTTTGCTTCAGCTCTCTCCATGTCTCCTTCTGTCTTTGCCTGCAAATCTTCCTTTCTTCTTTCCATCTCTTTAAACCTTCCTTGTGTTTTTCTATCTCCTTTTCTGCTCTGTCTCTCTGAGTTTATCCATTTATCCATCCATTGTGCTGCTTATCTGGGTGCAAGTCATGGTGGCAGCAAGCTGCTCCTTCTCCCCAGCCTCGTCTTCCTGGGGGATCCCGAGGTGTTCCCTGGCCAGATGGGATATTAAATCCCTGCAGTATGTTCTGGATCTGCCCAGGGATCTTCTCCCAGTTGGATGTGCCCGGAATGCATCCACAGGGAGGCGTCCAGGAGGCCTTAGTGCCAATGAAGGCGTCTGTGCCCAAACCACCTCAACTGACTCTTTTCAATTAGATTGAGCCATCCTGTGAAAAATACAAACCCTTTGGCCACATGTATCTGTGATCTCTTTCAGTCAATATCCAAAGCTCATGACCACAGTTGAACATTATGTGTCAATAAAATGATAAATTGAACACTTCAAGGTGTTTTTTAAATGTGTCTTTGCACTTTTCTCCCTCTGTAAGTCTGTCTAGTTGTGCCCTGTTTAGTGCTTTCCAAATGTTCTTTTTTTTCTTGCACACATTTCTGATTTTGTTCTGTTTTGTGGTGTCAGGTCTTATTTATATTAAATGTCAATTTAGATTTTGCTATAATCCTTTAATCCTATTTTTTCTCAGTTATTATTCAGCAGTAGGCATGTGACATGATTATTTTATCTTATCAATATTTATTATTTCCGCAAGGCTTTGATGTTTGATTACTTTGAATACTGATTTTCTGTGGTTGATATGCTTAAAATGATATTTTCTGAATTTAAATCTTGGCCAAAACAAATCATGGAGCAAAAATAACATTAGGTTTCATGTAAAAGGAGGCTGTAACAGAAAAATATTGCACACACAATAATACTGAAAGACCAAGAACCAAGTTGCAAGTCTGCAGAATGCTTAATGTCTCCTCAATCATACTGATAATATCCATATGTAGATTTTTTTTGTGAGTGAAGTTATTTGATTGTGTGCAGGTATTCTTGTGTATTACTGTCTATGAGGTTGATAATTTGTGTCTATTCTTAGAAGAGTGCAATTCGGCATAGCTGACATTGGTGCTTTGCTTCCCCTCTCTCCCAGGAGTCCCATTCTGTGAGCTGCGAGAGCATTTCGGGGAGGAGTTCTTTGGCCTCTGCTTTGAAGAAAATGAACGCGTGCTTCGGGCTGTGGGTGGCAACCTCCAGGACTTTTTCAATGGCTTTGACGCCATTTTGGAGCACATTCGCACCTCCACGGGGCGCCGTGCTTCATCTGAGAGCCCCTCCTTCCAGTGCAAGGATCCCCACGAGGAGGAGAAAGGCAGAAGAAAATTGGACAAAGTTGGAGAGCAAGGAGAAAGAGATGGAAGAGGGAAGGTGTTGCTTCTTCACTGTTTTAACCCTGCGCCTGTTGTTGGATTGGTCATGCCAGGGTTGATCCGAGCTGTTGCCAGGCGGATCTTTCATTCAGAAGTTGAGGTGGAAGAGGTGCCACCTCTAACTCCCTTATTGCCCAATGAAGACACAGAACACACAGACGGTGACTCTGCAACCCCAACTCCAACTGCATCACCCACTGCCTCACCCTCCTCATCTCCATCCCCTCCCTCTCCTTTCCAAACCTCTGTTCCCACAGTTTGCTTGTCCTTCCAAATTCAAGAGACGTGTCCTCCTTCCCTCTCTTCCTTCCCAAATGCTGCCTCGGTGAGCACTAAACGCCCCCACCCCTCACTCTCCACCAACCCCAGTGATCTGCGCATCGGCCTGGCCACGTTTTGCCGTGCCTTTCCATTTCACCTTGTCCTGGGGCCTCGCATGGAGCTACTGCAGCTTGGAGAAGGATTGAGGAGACAGGCTCGCATTGAGCCTCATCGGAGCTTCTCGTTCAGGGACTGTTTTGAGATTGTCTCACCCAAGATGGAGCCTTCGTTCCAGGGTATCCTCCTGAGGCTTGCATCCCCATTTACCATCCGTACCAGACCTGATACCACACAGACTGGCACCAAGGAGAAGGTAAAGATATTATAAATAACAGATGACACTGATTCTCAAATCTTACTTTTCACCACATTTTATAGAAAATTGTTAACTGAAATCTAGTTAAAAAAATTTTATGATAAGGCTACTGGTGTGCTACAGTGAGTTTCATGATAAGATCCACCTATTTTAGTTGCACACAACCAATAAACTTTGTTTTATATGGGATGTACTCACTCATGGTCAAGCACAGAATACTATGCCATTCCACCACATTTTGCAAGCCTGTGGTGTTTTTGCATGGGAAGAATGAGGATTGAATTGGTTCCAATTTGCCAGAAACAATTAATCAATCTGAGTTGTATGCTATATCCAGTTCTTTATTGATTGGATGGTCTCTGCAGGCTGTCAGTGTCAGCACCAGACATCCGATGCTAAACAGAACTGACAGAAAGGAGATTGATCACTCTAACCACAGTGCTGTGCTGTGTGGGTATGAGTGTTTGTGTATGGATGGGTGGGTTAGACATGTCTTATGCTGCTCACTAAAAAACAGGAGTATATTTGTATTGAAAAGTACTGGCACATAATGTGCCCCAATGAGAGCACATGTGTACTCTTTGTCCCAATCCATCCTGAACTAAAGCTAGAGTTATTGTGGAAACACACTGATTGAAGAAACCGGATGGTACAGGGGAAAATGCACTTGTCTACTATTGGAGAACACAAGTGGGTGGGAATCATGTTGGGGATCATGTCTCTGCCACTAGCATCTCCTACACACTCTTATCAGACCAAGAATGGAATTATTTTGTGGAGGCATTTTGAGTTTTGTTTCTATACTGTTGTGTTTCTTAGTGGTATCTTATCTAGCTGGGGTCAAGTTCTGTGAGTGAACTAGATTAAATAGGGTTAGTGCATGGACTGTTTGGGTGTTTCTAAATACATCAGCTATTTTTGATCATGTAGGTAAAGCGTTACTATGAGCCAAAGGGTGGGTGAATATAAATGATAGTGATATAAATTGAAGGGTATTGAGGTAAATCCTCATCCATTCAGTGAGTTATTTTACTTGTCTCTTTCTTGTTAAACAGCTGTGCCAATTCACAATGGTGCATGACAAAAATGGTTCATTGAATGGAGACATGGCTTCTCCAGACAGAAACATTTTATTATTTTATCTATCATTCGGAGTGACAAGATGTGAATAAACAGCGTTGCACCACAGATCTGCAGCCAAAGGCAGATGGTGCGGTTAAAAGTCCTGTTATGTCATGTTTCCCCTCCTTGTCATAGCACTGTTTGCTTTAGTCTTTGCCCTGGCACGTACAGCCCACTCACACGGCACTCAAACCAGTTAAAATACATTTCTAAACAAACCTGATACAATTAGTTCAGATTATGTTGTGTAATTTGTTTTAGTTTGCTGCTATGCAAGATGATTGGGGTGTATTGATGCTTGATTTTAATGTATGCCATACCAACACTGTAGAGAATTCTTTATGTTCAAAGGATTACACAGGGCAATACATCTTGCACAAATATTGTATTTGAGCATGTGCTGTTATGACTGGATGTAAGGACTACTGCTCTTAACTATTATTTAGGGCTGGAACTATTGTTGTTTTGTCCATAAAATGTCAGAAATAGTGAAAATGTCGGGTTTGTCTTCAGATGTGTTGTTCTATTCGACCAACAGTCCAAAACCCAAAGATATTTGGTTTATTATCATGCAGGACAAAGAAAAGCATTAAGTTCATTGATTTGAGAATATGTAACCAGCAAATGTTTGGCAATTTTGCTTGAAAAATTACTGAAAAGATTATTTAATTATCAACTAATTTCCTGTTGGATAGCTAATCAATTAATCGCTGCAACTCTACTATTATTAAATTTTAGTAACATTTTAAAAATGTCATTCCCCATTATTATTTGTTAATGTAATTAGAAGTATTAGTTAGTACGTCACAACTTGTGAACACCACAAAAGTGAATCATTCATATGGGCCCCTCTCATGACAGTTGTTTGCACTGCAGTGTAAAGGCTAGGATAGTGTTTCAGGTCTGTGTACACAGAGCTCTAATTGGGTGATTTTGGTCTCGCTTTATCCAAATAAACCAATCTCGGGGGCTTTAGTGCATTAATCTGAACAGATGACAAGAAAACACAACTACATAGGTTTTATTCTCCTCTTCACAGTTAGGCCTCAAGTACCACTGAAGTACTATAACATCTCCTCTCTAGCTTTCTGACTCTCTGTCAGTGTCACTCATAGATTCACTATCATTCTCTCTCCCTCTGCTTACCATTTTCTAGCTTTTTTCTCTCTCACAAAGATAAGATAAGATGACACAGCAGCACAGAGGAAAGGTAGTGCAAAAAGTACAGAAGAGTAAAAATACAATAAAGAATACAATAAAACACATTATAAAGATATAAAAGAATATATAAAGACTGCAGTACGCAGTAAGAAATATGGTGTGCAAAAATATTTTAAACAGTGTAAAACTAACTGTACATATGCAATTATTACAAGGATTTGCTGTTTCCCCTCTCACATATTCCTAGCTTTTTTTATTCTCTCCCTCTTATGCAATCAGACATACATTTGATTAAAAAGGCCTTACTGATCCAAATAGTATGTGTTTGTGCTTTTAGCTTTTTTAGATGGTAGACAAGTGGAATTGGCAACAAACGTAAATTACTGACAGGAAGTTCAGTCTCGGGATTGTATTGAGTTTAGGGTTAGCTGGTGTTCTGGTTCTGCGCATGTTCTATAATTATCTGTCTTTCTCATCTCTCCCATCTACAGACCACACTCGAAAAAGGTTATTCTGCACATTCATGAGTCAGCGTACAGCAGCTGCCTTTTCTATTCCCTTTTGTGTGTGTCACCAGTGATCAGAACCTGGCATTGCTGAAGTCTTAAGTTAGACAATGCCTCCAAGCTCCAAACACCATCATTGAGTAACTTGAAAGATTTGTGTTGCCTTAGGGTGGGCGGACATTGTTACTCTTTATTTTTGCCATATGAATCTTGTGTCACCTGGGCAGAGAAGCAGAACAAAGAGAGAGAGAAAAGAAGGATGGGCTGACATTTTCACCAGAAAGGGCAGCGAGAGAAGGCGACAGGCCAAGGTAAAGAGGCCACAAAAGAGCACTCCCCTGTGCTGCGCTCTGTGTGTGTGTGTGTGTGTGTGTGTGTGTGTGTGTGTGTGTGTGTGTGTGTGTGTGTGTGTGTGTGTGTGTGTGTGTGTATTTGAATGGCCTGTAGTGGATTTTTAGTTTGACTTCTTTCCTGTCTTCGCCCAGGGACATGGGCTGTGCAAGAGACATCCAAAGACCTACTGAAAAGGTCAAATTGCATCTCTCTCTGTCTGCTTAGTGTGAGCACTGTGGTCAGCACACAGGGGAGTGTACACAGGTTGCACTGTCAAAAGCTCTCCTCTAACCAGAGCATCATCTTGTTCATCATGTTTCCCTCACACCACAGGTCCCTATCTATGAATCCTCCTTTCCTAATCTTGCTGTCTTATAACAGAAAGTTTAAAGATACAGCTTACAGTAAATTTACGCAAAAGTAGTTTCATTATGACATGCACTCAAGCATGATTCATTGATCTTCTTCAGCTCCACTGACCTGGTGGAGGTCAATTATTGGAACAGGCCGGTTTTGTTGGCAGTTGTTTACGAAAGGTAATGCTTTTAAAGCATGAAACAGCACTGAACCAAGTTTAAAAATAATACACAATGTGAAATCCATGTGGAATTTATCCAATTTGATGTATAACAGGGAAAATATAAACGCTGATGCCCCATTTGTTTGGGCCAAACTGTGGATGTAGACGTACTTCGATGCAGATTTTTTTCTTTCTCTTAAAAATAACAGGATGAATAAGACAGAGAATCCATGAATCACAACACCTACCTCCACAGTAGTGATGCCATTGCTGTAAATATCCAAACCTACCCAGACTCTTTGGGTCATAGAGTCAAATTCTGCTCAGGATTACTTTTTTGTGGTCCTGAAAGTCTAAGCGAATGATCTGTGTGGATGTTGGATGTTAGAGAAATGATGTAGCAAGACCAGAAACTCTGCAGTTATTAAGAAAATTGCATGTTTTAAAATGGTAAAAAGGGAGATTGAGGACAAGTGTAGCATTTGCGAAGGCCAAGGAGTACTGGCTTGACGAACCATCAGGATGTTCAAATCTGCAATGTCATACTTGTTATTTAACTTATGCTACTGTATTGTATTTGCGGGGGTTTCTGAATGAGGTTTGTTTGTGTTTGCATGCGTGCACCTGCGTGTCTGAGTACAAAGAGAATCTTGACATTAGCACCACCTTTGATCTGTTTCTAGATAAATCACTGCCGTGATGGCTTGTTTGTTCAGTGGTGAGTGCTTTGAAAATCACTGCCCTCTCTGTCTCTGTCTACTCTTGATACATTTACAAAACAGGGTGAATGAAAATACAAGGGAGGAGGAAAAAGAGGCATTGAGACAAGGAGAAAAAAACACAAGTAATGAGCATGACAAACATATTTTTAGTTTGGTCCTTGAAACAAAGATAAAGAGAATAGAAATGTCATTGTTGGGTTGATACCTTTTTTAATCTGCACTTCAGTTGGATTAAAAAGTGATCATGAAACACAAAAAATAGCTTTCAACTATCTCACAAAAGTCCACTTGAGTTATTCCTACTTCAACATTGGTCAACTAAAACAACAACAACATTTGGTTAACATGTACATTTAAAGTGATACTGATCAATGTGCACTGTTTATGAAAAGTGTGAGATGTCCTAAAATGGCCACTATATTAGTGGACATTATTCTGGTTCTCACCATGGCCTGTTTGTTACCAGAAAAATAAATGTTGTATAGATACTTAAAAGCATGGATTTCTAGTAAATTAGTATACCTCATTATTAGATGTTGAGGTGGTTTGAGTTTTAAGTACAAGTTATCGGAAAAGCCCTCACGGTAGTTAGAGATCAGGGTCATGGATAGTCAACAATCAGCCATCCTTTAA